ATCCCTGAGTATCTCAGAAACACGACGTGCTCTGACCATGAGGTTTTCGAGATTACAACTCCAGCATTGATATCTCGGATGTGGAACTTTACAGTGACGGTAATGACCCAGGTGCGTGACGGTACGTTGGAAATGACCTCAGGGATTTGGAAGAAATGCATTATGGTCTCAAGGGTAGTGATTGGAAAAGTATGGTATGGACTTCAGTACACCTGGATTGGAACGGTTAATTGGACTCGGGAGAAATTCGAATGGTTCTCAGACTTGACGTGGACTGAAGCAAAGAGGTGGCTTGGAAAATTGTTATGGAACTGTACGGAATGGTTGGCTTGGATTTTATGGAATGGACTTGGATGGTTGGCTGAAAGGGTCTGGAATGGACTTCAGTACTTAGCGGATTTTACCATAACTGCGACATATTTATTTGCCGAGATGGTCCAAAATAAGTCAGCTGAGCTGATCCAGATGATGATTTACGGAGTGACGTGGATTGTTGAACCATTTGTGCCTGTCTTCTCTTATATCACTGATGTTGCGGTTGATTTATATTTTGGTTTCCTACACGGTAAGTCAGCTCTGCTCAGAATTGAATTTTCATTTCACAAGTTGGCCTGGCAGCAGAGAGAGAGATCATTTCACTTCTCACCTTCGGCTGAGCTGGATTTATCATAGCTATTTTCTTTTACACGGGCTATACGATGCAATTTATAGAGGATGACTTCAATTCTTTTTACATCTTTAGCTGCACAATTTTATCCCATAATTAGTACATTCGATTCAAAAAAAAAAGCGGTTACTAGTTTTGGAAACTTTTCTTTTTTGGAAACTTTTCTTTGTTCACTATCTATGACATTAGTTTTTTTTTCCATCAGATCATGTGAAACAAATTCAAACTCGCTTTGATTTTGTTTCCTGGCAAGATGGTGTCTACGCTTTCTCCGCTGGTTTGGTCGTCAATGTTTCTCTTTTGGTTGCTGCTTTTCTCGTTTACCGGTTATGTGTGCGAACTGTGAAATTCATTGGACGGAAATGGTAAGTTATATCCTGCGAAATAACTGTTTTTAAAAAATGAATAACTCTTTAACCCCTGAGAGTGGCTGGCCTCTAATTTCTCCTCACAATATCAGCCTTAAATCAAACAGAAAGGTTATGAGAATAAAGGAAATGATCACTCATTTTAGAAACCCCTTGTTGTCAGTCAAATTCTCCATGTCAGTACCATAGCAAATTGAAAGAGAACAGTGCGGAAATATGAATACTAATGTTATGGTGTAAAGGGTTAGGATTATTTTGTTTGAAATCAGTAGCCAAACGAGCGAGGTCTCCCTAATAGATAATTAGTTCCCATGAGTCAGTTGCCATCCCGTGATATTTGGAGTAAATTTTCTGACGCGAAAATTAACTTCAATCTAATGCCCTCTGCAAGAGACTAGAAAGCACAAAAAATGATACAGATAAGATTAGATAAGATAAGAACGAATTGAAAATTACGACTTAGAAATGTAGCGGAAGGTTTTTAAGATGTGTATAACACTAAGTAGCTCTAACATCTGTGTCAAATATCATGATTTCCAAGGCATTCGACCCCAATTAAATGCAGCCCTAATTTTTTAGCAATGAGTAGAAATTCTGCTGTTATCACGAAGCTACACAGATGTAAAAACAGAGCCTTTGAAGTGTTGTCACCTGTTCTCTTTTGGATCAAAAGCCCATCCATTGCGCGCATGCGTCCGATTTACGGTTGATAGACACCGGTTAAATATTAAATTGAATTAATGAGGAAATCTGACTTCAATAAGCATTCCTTATTCTATGCTTGTCATTTCTTGCAGGAAAGAGTACAAAGACAGAAAGGCTACCGCTAATATGCCACCCAAACCACAGAAACCAATTTGGCAGCCGAAACGAAAGCAGAAGAAAAAGAAGAGAATTGACGACTGGTAGTCGCCAATTATGTTTACTTTGTTTTGTTGCCTTAAAAAAAAAAAGAAAAAAAAAAGAATTTTAAAATCTTTTGACTCGGTGAAAATCCTGAATTTTTTGTCATTCTGTTAAATGCAGTTTTGAGATATTGAAAGTGTAATGTAATTAAGTGGTGGTAAGTGTAATTAAGTGGTGGCTTTTGAGTTTTCTTCCATTAAAAGTTGTTCGATGCGGTTTCTCTATATAGTCTGGTTGTGTTGGAAAATTGAAATTTGAAACGCTCCTATGCATCTATCGTCCTTTAGTTCAACCTAATACAAGTTCCTATGGGAGAATTGCAATAAATTTCTCGCAACTAAATTACAAAAAACTACAGAATCGCACTGCGCGTATTTTGACCTCTTCTTCCTACGATGCCAACGTTGATGATCTTTTTTTAAGACTTGGGAGTAGGAAAAACTTGATCTTTGACGAAAATTCCAAAAAGAAAAAAAAACTACGGACCATAAATTACTTTATGGTATTGCCCCTGGTTATCTGCAATTTATGGTTATTGATCGGAGTGAAATATTTAACACTATTCTTTAAGGGATTCTAAGGGAAAATTAGCTGTTCCACATCCCCGTACTAACTCCTGAAAACAAACTTCAGCTATAATGAAGCGGTCCTTTGGAACATTTTACCAGCCAATTCGGGGCAAACACACTCTCGCTAGTTATAAATCCGGCTGCAGTGAAATGATGAACTCAGCCCATGAATTCGAGAAAACAAAAGGAGCTCAGAAACAAGAGCCGTCAGCGAGTATTTCTAAATTTTGAATGGTTTTGAGTAAAAAGCAGGAATTTTCACGGCTTCCTCATTAATAAATATTTCAAGTCAGTCAAGTCAGATAAACAGAGATGGTGATATCTTAAAATGAATGCTCATCATTTTCGTGCGAGTCTTTGACTATGATGAAAAGGGAGAAAGCTAGCCTGCTCAAAAACAATGTTTTTTCATGTTTATTAGACCATTTTTAATAAATATGGGCCTTGCTGCGCGCACTGCGAACTCTGCTATGTAATAAAACTTAATACAAAACATGAAACGCAATACTGCACACTAAAAGCCTTAATTTCAGCTAAGAACTACTCATTATTCATGAATGACATTTTTTTCCCACCCTTTTCCGAGCAAAAGATAAAATTTCACGACCCCTATTCAAGTAATGTAAGAAACAGAGAGAAACAGATATTTTATTTAGAGGGCGGTTAAATAAATTAATTATTGATCGGACTACGTTTTCTCGTGTTCAGTTTCAAAATTGCTTTGGTGTTCCTCGCATTTCGAGCCGAGAAAGAAAGAGGAAATAGAGATCATCCCTGTAAAAGCAACAGCGGAAGAACAACTAACAAGACATGAAGATACATTTCTGATTACTTTTGCGGCAAGCTTCCTCAAGCATAGGAAACTAAATGCGCAATTTGTTTGGTTTTTGATTGGTCGGAAGGTAATTCCAAAGTTTGAACATAGCTGGTTTACTTCAGTTTGCTTTACACTTTGCCCCCCAAGTTTCACTAGGAATCGAAGTGGGGCGCAACGTGAAGGAAAAAAAAACGCCCATCTATTACCTCAAATTCACTACGTGCGCTAATTTTCAGGAACTGTGAGCATTCGTCTCAACAATATACTATATAAATGGCTGTTAATAGCTGAACAACAAGAAAACACTTTTAGTGATTTGTAGACCAAGCTTGAATTCACTTATAAAAGTAGAGAGCGTCAGCTCTGCCGCGACGTCAAATAACCTTTGCTCAGTATTATTCTTTCAAAATCATTTCCAGTCCATTAGACAGACAATAAATTTAATACTATCGATAGCGTAAAGTAATGATTTATAAGATTCGGAGCTTTCGATGAAATTAAAGAAAAAACTGACTTCAGTTGCCGATTTTTAGCCAAAACAGCAATCGACCTTTCCTTAACTCGGGACATAAATCGCCACGATGGCTCACTGCTAACTTGGTATCATGATTTAAACGGTGTCACTTTACCTGACCATTATAACAAAACAGATATTAATTCGCAAAACACAGTGTATTAAAAATTGATAATCATCCCTCTTTTCCTTTTAACTCTTGAATCCTTTAAAAGGTGCTGTTGTGATATCTACGCTATGAATCTCCTTTCGCTGAAGGTACTAAAAAAAGTTTAATAAAACTTTCTTTTGATTTTGTTCAAATTGCATCCAAAGATAGACAACTTTTGACAAGAAAATTGGTTTGCGTCACAGGGTTAATTGTGAAAAACGGATGCAATTTACTCAAATAGTCATGATGGTCGCACATAGACCCGTATCAGTTTCTCCATTATAGCAGAACAAACAAAACTCCACCTGGCGTCGTGTTCAATACGTGCAGCACCAAGGGAATGTCGTTTATTTCACATTTAGCTCGCGAGTCGTTCTACCGTGGGAAATTTTCGCCTCCTTTTGTTATTGAAATACAGTCTACAAAGCCCGATTTAAGTGTAAAGAAAGATAAACTGATAAAGAACGAGACAAACAATGAAAATAATACCTGTTATGTTTTCTGCAGCACGTGGATTACAACAGAATGACTTAAACTTTCTAAAACGGTCAATATAAAACTTATTAGAGGACCTTAGAATCACAAGTTTTTTTCTAGGAAAAAGAAAACCTCGCATCTATCGACGCTGCGAGGATGTTGCGTCAATTACGGCACGTGCTCGAATAGCCTGGATGCCGAATTTCAAGAGGCAGAGATTGTCATTTTGCTTTTGTTTTAAAAGTTTGAATGTACAAGTAGCAAAACCATAATTATTATAAGGTGAATCACGGGCTTGTCAGCCAATCAGATTCGTCTGGTCTCACGCTCTTCACGCGCCGCTGAAGACGGGAAACAATGCAAACGACGGTTATCGTGCGACTCTAAGCATTCAGCCAATCAGAGGCGACTGTTCCCACGGTTATGGCTTTGTGTATGAAGCCAGCATTGTTTGGGCAGCAAGCCGATTGTCACTGGACAGGTGTTTGTAAATAAAATTCATCTAATGTCGGCACACGACTCTGATATTTTCCCACGACTGATGAAAATAAATGTGATCGCATCATGCATGTCGGACAGTTCACGACAAACACTCGCAGAGTCAACATCGTCGGAAAATTTCATTCAAAAACTTAACATTTGAAAATATGGCCGTTGAATGTGTCAATAGCACAGCCTATGTAGGCAAGATTCTTTCAGAGAGGCGAAAGGTAAGTTTTTAAGCTCTTAGTCTTTGATAAGTGCAACATTAACATTGCACAAGAAATAAATTCAATTAACTTTTGCAATTTTTTTAAGGCTCTTTGCTAATAGTCTGAATTGTTTTCTTTAGGCTAAGAAACCTCTCATGGAAAAAATGCGTCGTGCCAGAATTAATGACAGTTTGAACGAACTCAAGAACCTTGTTCTGGAACTCCTTCAGAAAGATGTAAGTTAAAGATTTATAGATTTATTTCAAATTACAAACGAAATCGAAGATGGTTGTAGGCTCAGCACCTCGAGTTGCTTTAATATGTAATGATTGCATCTTGAATATATTGAAGATTTAACGATCTGTTGTGCATCACTCAGTTTTCTTGTGTAACTTAAAAAACTTGATATAATTATTTTTTTTGGCTTCCTTTATCCAGGCCTCTCGTTATTCCAAGATGGAGAAAGCTGATGTTCTTGAAATGACCGTGACTTACCTAAGAGCCATGCACCGAAAAGACAGTGGCATTGAAGGTAAGCGTTTGTGAAGCTTCTCGTGATAATCCATAATAAAAGAAAGAACGAGGTTCCAAAACATCGCTAAGTCTGCAACTATTGGCAAAAAGCACCAGTTTGTAACTATCTTAAGTGCATGATTTATTTTGTATGAAAAGAATTAGAATGCTTCTCAAGATTTCTCCCATGTGACGATACTTGACATTTTGCGCTTGGAAACAACTTGAACGTATAAATGATCGTGCTCAGCGCTCGTAACACGATAATTAGCTCGCATTCAACGCCAAAAGTTATCTTTATTCATGTTTTTTTGTTGTTGTTGTTTTCTTTTTTTACTTTTTTGCAAAGAACTGAAATTAACGAGTCGTTTCCTTCACTCTTAGATCCTCAGTCACTAGCCGAATACAGAGCCGGCTTCAACCACTGCGTGAGCGAAGTCAACAGAAGTATGACAAGTGAAGGAAGCGAGCAGCTCAGGGAAAAACTCTTGTCACACTTGGCTTCATGCTACCATAGCAACGCCACTAACCGTGTCGCCACGAGCCACGCGTCAGGGATTCCCGCCATGACTCAGAGTTTTCCCGCCATTGCGCCAAACACCGTCTGGGTTCCATATCCTTCACCACCGCCATCTCCCACAAACCAACCTACAATTTTTAATCCCTTAACAAGTCCAATTAAAACTGAAATGCCAAGAATACCATCCCCGATCAGTCCATCGGCAGCTCAAACAAAGAAAATCAGCATCTCGCCTGCGAGTTCTCCAAGCGCCAGTACAAAGACACCGCTATGGCGTCCTTGGTGATCAGTGAACGCTGAAATAAATCTACAATGTTAGAAAATGATCTCAAAACAAGCGACATCGAGAGATTTTTCCTCTTGCAAATAATTTATCCAGAAGAGCCTACTTTGAATATTTACTATGTAAATAGTCGTAACGTATTTAAATTTTTAAAAAAGATTTTATTATCGACAAAAGTTATGCTGCGAGGCAGTTTTAAATAAAATTATTTGATCCTTAAAGCCTTTGTGTAATTGTTTCTTTTGTTGTGTTCTTACACCGCCACGAATGCAAAGAAGAGGATTGACTACTTCAAGCCTGAGAGCAAACATTCCTTCTTTGCTTAGAAATATTTAGAATGGGAGCAAAAAAAAAAACCTTTCTCCCTTTAAAATGAATGAGAATTCGCGGCTTAAACCTTTTAGTTCATTGTTGGCCCACTGAGAAAACTAAGACCTGCTGTTGATATCTTTTTTTTTATTTCATAAATAGCGCTTTCCATCAGTTTGCTGACATGACAAGTCTTTAAAGATGTTGCGAGAACACTAAAATATCTCGTAGATCACCCGCCCTCGGCTCGTAGCTCGAAAGCTTTTTCTTTCATAGATGCCGCTTCCACCCTTCAAACCCAGAGAAGTAATCGCCTTGTGTGATTTTAAAGCCGAATTCCCCCGCTAGCAAGTTATAATTATCTCTTGATGTCACAAGTTTTCCCTCGGCATTGTGAATAGCAAAAGAAGCGTTTCTTCCGTTTGACAGGCTCCAAGTCGTAACACGTTGAATTTAGTTTTCAGTAGAAGAACTTTAAATTGTCATGGACAGAAGTTGCTAGTGTAGGTGGAAGACACTGCTTCATCTTTCAACTGTTGCTAGGAAAAGAAAAGAAATGCGAGGTTTTCTTGTCAGAAAATAGCGCATAGGAGGTGTATACTTTAAACATTAAGGCTCGATCGCTCATTTTTGGGGAGGATTGGGCGTTTTAGGCGATTATCGCTTTTAACTAGAAAGTTGTAGCCATTCCAATCGGAGGGGTCGTTATTGATCGTTTGAACTTGTTTCCCTTTAATCATCCTTGTTTGCCCGAGGAATACTTCAGACGAACGAGGCATTGTGGACGGTCAAATGGAAACTGGAGGCTTATATTTAGTCTGTTTTAAAACCGATTGATCATGTACAGTTGTAGAAAACTGAGTTTTATCTCATTTGTCAATCATTTATGTTGTCAAAGGTATTCCAATTTATTATGAAATTTGTGTTGAATCAGAGCTTCTTGTGGACATTTTCAGCTGATGTAAATCAGAGGACTTCTAACATTTATTCAAGCCATATTCAAGATGTTCCTTTTCTTTTTGAAAAGAAGGAGAAAGCAAGTTATGCCCATGTGGACAAACTACGGGTTGGGTTCAAATTTTAAAAATTAAATTAACGTTTGCCTCTTAATAATACCCATAAAACAATTGACAGTATAAATAACTTAACGGCCAGTTTCCAAGGTTTTGCATGAAAATCGTCTGTTATTTACTAAGCCTAAAACACGTGCTTCGAACAATCTTTAGAGAGGTAAATAAGAGAAGTTTTAAGACTTATCATTGTGTCTGTTGAACATGCAGTTATGCTTAGCACACGTGTCTTTTCTATATACGTTAGTGCAACATCGTCTGCGGACTGAAAGGCGTTTGCAACGATTTTCTCCTGCTAGAAAATAAGCAATAGCGAAAAAAAAGACTTAAGGTTGTCTACTTGTAAAATAATGAAAAAACGTATTTCTTTGATAGCATCGAAATGGCACTTTTCCAAATGGCTCTTGAAAAGTATTTTAAGACGTGTACTTTGACACGGTATACGAAATATAACCGTTAAAAAGAATGTGGTTATAAAGTTTTTATTCCAACTGTGTTTCCTACCGTTTTCCCTGTTTTTCAATTCGAATGATAATTGGAATATTATTGCCCCCTGTCGAGGAAAGCGTGGTCGCTAGGTTTTTGATTATAATCGCGCTGGAATTTACGCGACCTGGTGATTTTAAACTGATCTCTTTCTAAAAGTTTGTTTATACAACTCCGTAGAGATGCATACCAAGGTGAACAGACATCCTGATTCAACGGCATTCACGTTACATCAAAACTAGCAATTTTGATTCTTCAATAAATGTTCAAGATTGCCTTCACTGTTTAAATAGATTGCGCGCTTGAATAAAACCAGTAATTTTTCCATTTATGTTGTTTTGATCGTCCCATTTTTTAAACGAAATTGTTTTGAAATCAGATCAATGGATGAATGCGCAAAAAATTAACGGTCGTAAAGATCCACCAACTGTTTTACAATAACAATAGAGTATCTAGCGCTTCTGTTTGCGCTTTTTGTACAAAAGGATGAACGACGAACCCCTCGCAGCCCAGCCGCTTAAGTGACGCTTCAAAGCACACACATAACCGAGATCTACACTCGTTGAGTTTTCCGATGCTCAATCTCGTTTTGCACGATGTAGACTATTTAAGTGTGGTACACGCATTTCCCACTCGAGCGGCACACGACGCGCGCGCATTTTTCTAACAGAGTTTACTCTGAAAGTATAGGGCCTTGACGGAACACGTGGATTAAACTATGGTGCTCAAGGTCTCACAAAGGGGCCACGGAACTCAAAACTGATCTCTATCAAACTTTAAAAATATGGTTTTGTAGTTTGCCTGCTGTTGGAAATTGAATGTTTCTTTTCTCTAATTTGTGGAATAACTTTGAGTTTCAAATTTCAACTTTGTGCGCAGTATGAAATCTTAAAATATCGTCGGGTCACGGCAACTGCGGTTTATTATCCACAGCGCACGATTGTTAAGCTCTCATGACTTCTCTCTAATACGTTTTCCACATTAGCTTTTGTGACTGTTATTTTTCGCTTAAGTTTCCGTTTTTTGAAACCTCACTGCATTTCGATTTTAGTAACATAGCCATTTGGATAATAAATTTAATCCAAAAAAAAGAAGTGTGGAATTTTTTTTCATGATTTGTTGCAAATAAATGCACTTGCCCACTGTAGATGGACCCCATAATCTCTTTATCATAATCCGAAAGACTTCGATTTTCAATTTTTCGTCTTCTCTGCACCAAGTGTGTGCAGTCATTTGCTGCTCAAACAAATCAGTCTCCAACCTTAAAAAACACAAGAGTTTTTATATCTTTTTTCATAAGCGGCTGCCGATAGTGTTACAAGCGGCTGTGCCCGAATAGGTGGCTTAACCCTTTACATCCTAACGTCAGTATACGTTTTCTCCATACTGTTCTTTATACATTTCCTATGGTACTGACAAAGAGAATTTGCTTAAAAATCAAGAGCTTCTTTATTTGGTGATCATTTCCTTTATTCTCACGACCTCAATGTTTGTTTTAGGGCTGATACTGATTGGAGAAATTAGTTACTAATCTTAGGGCTTAAAGGCTTAACCTGAAAAACAAACACGTGTGCTCGTAGGTTAAACAGACAGCGGTAAGAGGTGTTATGGCCAGCGGTACACAGATCCAGTAAATGGTTTGAACCCGGGGGTAACATGTAATAGTGTAGTTTGATCGTCCGGGTGAGTGTAGTCCTGAGAAGGACTGTTGTCGGTAATGGTGACTGACGTTTCGACAACCTGAGCGGAAGTCATCATCAGAGTCAAGTGAAAGGGTGTTGTCAGTCGAATGTACTTAGTCCGGTTTGTGTAAACTGATTGGTAAGTTTTGCCGTGATGTTATTGACCCTGGAAAGCTGGTTTACTAACTTGGAACAGACTCCCCTCAACAGGTGTCAACCACTACCGGCACCATACAAACGACTCATTCACGACATCAAAATTACAAACGAACCGAACAGAACAACCTAACTTCACTAACGGATCCAAACCGACCAATCACGACTGACCTACACCACTTGAGTCTTACAGCCAATTCTCAGGACTACACTCACCCGGACGATCAAACTACTCTATTACAGGCACACAGATCGTCCAACGCAATTTGAAATTGAGTAGATAAAGAAATCTAGAATTCCATTTGTCTCCCAATCAGAGACAAACCTAAAACCAGCCATGACTCGGCAATTGGCACTCTGCTGCCCTTCATGCAAATTTCTTGTTTTACCCAGAGCTCTTACTGGTTCCTTGTGAAATTTTCCTTGTCTCTGAATGGCTGTTGTGATTTACTCTAGTTTTGGTTTCTCGCCGCACAATTGAAAAATGCTCTTTTGACAACACCATGCTCTAAAATATGAATATTCTAAAAATTACTAAAGAGAATTTTTCAGTTTGAGGAGTATTTTATTTATTTCAATGTTTGGGTCCTTGGAACCAATCAAGAGTTTGAATAAAATTACTATAATAGTAGAAAACATCTTTCTGGTCTATTTTTACATACTCAGTTCATCATATAAAATAATTTTGTTTCATTACAAAGTATAGTCCAAAAAAAGTTAAAATACATTGACTTAAGCCCTAGAAATCAGAAAGAAAAATCTGTTTATGCTTATGTAACTCCCAGAAGTGATTAGCATGTAACTTCTCCCCATAATATTCATACATTATCCAGCAAAAAGGTAATGAGAATACTCAGACTTATCAGGCAGAAGTTGTCATCTTGATCTAACACCAAATTTTCATAACTAATCAACAAGTAAATGTGTAGCAGCTACAGTGGAGAATTAACAATCAAATCTTGAGAGTTAAAGGGTTAAAACTATTTCATTTACAAAAATAAATTGGTGAGTCTTAGGGAGGGCTCCCTATTTAAATTTCAAACCTTGGGCATGGCAGAGCTGAAGGAGGAGTCATCCCTTATTTCACCATTCCCCACCCCCCTCCTGATACCAATTTGCCTCCAAGACAGTGTATCAACATTAGAGCTAAATATCAATGCTGAAAATAAACTAAATCTTTCTTTGACTTTGAGAGCTCTTTGATAAAATACATTAATTATTAACTGAATAAGCTATGCCACCTGCCACCCATTTCATTTATTTCTAAGTCTTGATAATAGTGATAGTCTAAAATAAGGCAGTAAGACTAAGATAATTAACTAGGGTTTGCTTCAATATCAGTTTGAACAAGTTCACATGACAGAAAATCGATGATTCTTTTAATTAGAAATGATTAAGATATCAGGCCTAAGCGGTGACCCCACCCCTCCCCCCTACCAACAGGCACTTAGCCAAGCATCCATCCTCCATCGATGATATGCTCACAGCCCGTCATGTAAGGCGCCTCATCTGACGCAAGGAAAACAGAAAGTTTTGCAATTTCGTCAGGTCTTCCAAGTCTTCCCTGTTTCTGCCGAGCCAGGAATTTCTTCATGGCTTCTTCAGGATCTGGGGCACTGTTGATTCGCCCTCGCAGTGAAGGAGTATCCACTGTGGCAGGGCAAATGGCATGGGTACGAATTCCCTGCGCGGTGAAGTCAGCTGCTAGTGCTTTGGTGAAGGCGATGACTGCACCCTTTGTTGTGCTGTACACAAAACGATTCGGAACTCCCTTAATGCTCGAAGCTACAGAGGCCATGTTGATAATTACTCCTCCACCGTTTGCGAGCATGATGGGGAGAAATTGTCGCGTCAAACGATACATGCTCTTCACATTTATATCAAAGGAAAGATCCCAATCTTTCTCCTCACAGTCCAAAATCGATCCATTATGAACAAACCCAGCGCAGTTGAAGAGCACGTCTAACTTGGAGAAATCTTTGACCAGTTCTTTAATCGCATCGTAGTTCGTCACGTCTAAGATCTTGGTTCGTATTCCTTTGACAGAGTTCAGTTCAGCGAGTTTTTCGCCGTTGATGTCGGTGGCTAAAACATTAGCACCCTCCTTGGCAAATTCTTCGGCAACAGCACGACCGATTCCTTGCGCTGCTGCAGTGACAATAATTTCTTTGCCTTGCAGACGACCGTCGGCCATTTTGAGTTTCCGAGTTTGCGTGACTCTTTGGTAGACGTGGAAAACAGGAAACATGTGACTTTTACTTGTGCGCTTATTATTTCCAGCGGACTTTTTGATAAAAAATTTCTTGTGGTGTATTCATCACTTAATGTCTATATTTTTTCCAAGATGGACGCTAGCTTGGAGAAGTTATTGCAAAATGATGGTAAACTCTTTCAACCTGGTTAAACCCTTTATAAAATATAGTATGTTGAAAAAGTTTTTGCTCTTTCAGAAACATTCAAGCAATTCTTGGAAGATAATTTTGATGACAGAACATATGCAAACAACATAATTCAAAGTCGTGCCATCAGCGAGTCGCTTGCCAGGTTGGCAGATGGAATAAACCTTCTGGATAAAGAACTTCACGCGCAGGTCTGCTGTTTAATTTTTCACCAAAATTAAAGAGTTACAGTTTGAGAAATATAGCGAATGATTACGTTTTGACGAAAATGTATCGTTGTTTTGTTCAGAACAGCTGATGTGGACAAATTTATTTGGATGCATGCATAATCACTATTTTCCTCATAGTTCCAGGCCACATAATTTTTTGTTTGGTTTGCGTAAATGAAAATGACGATTTGACTGCAAATTCAAACTAACTTTTCTGTAGCTTTCGTTCAATTAAGGAACGCTTACCTTGTAAAACTTGAGATGACCGTACATTCTTTACGCAGTTTTTGTCACAGATTATGATGATCAGATAATTAATTAACACAGACGATGATAAGAGATGAGGGATATTTTTCGGAAAAGTAGCGTTAGTAAACAGCCCTGAAAAACTGCATCTGTTCGCCCAGTTTTACATTTAGAATCGAAATAATGATAGTCTTGAAAATTGGGAAATGAAACCTAATGAACTGGTTTTTTTGAGCTGTGATCTTCACTACTGTTAACGTTCCCAAGGGTTATATTTTATAACATGGCTTCACACCTTTCAACCCTTTGCATGCACCCTAACATTAGTTTGTATATTCTCCATACTTTCTCTTTACATTTCTTATGGTGTTGACAAGGAGAATTTGCTTAACAATCAAGAGCTTCTTTAGTTGGTGATCATTTCCTGTCTTCTTGTGACCTTACAGTTTGATTCAGGGGAGATGTTGTGACGAGAACTTCATTACTTTCCACTCAAAGGGTTTAAGGGTTAAGTTATTTGGACTTAAATTAGGCAGGTCTCCAAAAGGGTAAAAGAATTGTTAAGATTTATACCTGCAAATTCACGGTGGTAAATCTTTCTTTTTAGTTGTTATTAGACTTAATAGGCTTTTTATTATTTTCTAGGTTGTTGAACACCATGAAGATCTTTTGCAACAGGCAACAGGAATTGAAACACTGGAAGGTAAGAAACAGGCATTTTATAATCATTGGTAAATACATTTGTAATAATTTACTTATTCTTAATGTTATAAGAGTATTATAAGCTCTTTTATTATGCCACATACTAGCAAGTTTTAGAAGAGCTAAAAATGATGCTATAAACAGTGTAACTTGCTTTCTTGATATAGAGAAAATTATATTTTCTTCTTTACCAAACTTTTTTGTAACTAACACTCTTGTTTATGATAAATTTATATAAGAAATTTTTTATCTCATAAGGTGTTCTACAGATGATGCAAACCAGAATAAACTCTTTGAAGGCTTCTGTTGAAAGGCAAGATTTCAGTGCTCTTGTTAATTCTATTCATTGGAAGTAATCAGTTTAGTGGGTTACATGATAATCTTTTTCAGTGATGTATAATCAGCTGATTTTTCCACTTTAACCAGAATTCAACAGCATGTTGTCGAACCATATTTTAAGATTCAATCAAGAACAGCTCAACTGCGTCGCCTTCAGGTAATAACCCTTTACACCTTAATATTGTTATGCATATTCTCCATACTGTTCTCTGTACATTTCCAAAGGTGTTGATGAGGAGAATCTGTTAAACAATCAAGAGTTTCATGAATTGACAATCATTTCCTTTATTCACATGACCTTAATGTTTGGTTCAGAGGGGATATTGTAAGGAGAAATCAGATGCTCGTCACATTCAGGGGCTGGAGGGTCAAAATATATAAAACAGTTATAGTCATGGTTATTTATCAAAATTTTAAGGTAATGTTTCCCAGAAAACTAGATTACTTTCTTGTTTAATCTGTATCAGGAAGCCTGTGATATCTTGAGAAGAGTTATAAGGGTGCTTTATCTAACCAAACGGCTTCAAGGTCAACTTCAGGGTGGAGCAAGAGAAATCACTAAGGCTGCTCAAAGTCTCAGTGAACTGGGTAAGGAAGTAGAAAAAAAGTGGAGTGATTATGCAGTGTTAATTAATGAAGTTTATCTTTGGATTCTGTGGCTAACAGCATGCTCCATGCCTATTTCGAAGTGGTTTGATCTGTCCATTAACTAGTGGGAGAAGTATAAGCACCTTATAACTACCAAAAGCATGGCATTCCAAAAAAATTCCTTCCAAAAAAAACCCGCAATGTGCATCTGATTTTAGTTTTGGTGGTCAATTCATCTTTCAGATTACCTTGTCCAAGGAGCAGACCTTTCTGGAATCCAGGTAACATTTAGCTTTTCACTCCTTAGATCTTAATGCCAGTTTTTTTTTCCTGTCCCGTTTTTAATTTACAGAACACTTTACACCCTAACATCAGTTAACATATTCTCCATACTATTTTGTACATTTTCTATGGAACTGAAAGGAGAATTTGCATGACTATCAAGAGCATCTTTAAGATGGTGATCATTTCTTTTATTCTCATGACTTTAATATGTGATTCTGCAGGGATACTGTAAGGAGAAATTAGATGGGAATCAATCTCAAGGATTAAAAGTCTAACAAACATTTTACATTTCAGGCAATAGAAAATGACTTGAAAGTGGCTGCCAAAGCAAGGATAGAAGTGGAAAATCAGGCAGAGAGAATGCTAGCTCAGGGCATGGCAACACAGGTACACTTTTCATAATGAAAGTATACCTGATTCTTTAACCCTTTAACTCCAGAAGAGATTAATATAAAACTTCTCCCTACAATATCCATACATTCTTCAGCAAACAGGTAATAAGAATATTCATATTTATTGGGTAGAAGCTGCTATCTTGATCTTGGACCAAGTTGTCGTAACTAATTTACAAGGAAACGTGTAGGAGCTACAGGGGAGAATTAACAATCAGATCTTGGGACTTAAAGGGTTTAAGGGATGACATAGCCAAGTGTATCTCACAAGATTTACTTCTTATTTCTCCTTTCTAATTACAGCCATAAATTTCAAAGGTAGTTGGTCAATAGAATAAGGCCTCTTGGATAATGTATCACTGTGCCTGGTTAGCTTATGTGGATGAGCACCGGACTACTGTGCAGGAGGTCAGGGTTCAAGACCCAGACCGGACCCACACTCAGGGTCTTAAAATAACTGAGGAGAATGTGCTGCCTTTGCTACGACATCTGCAAGCAGTTAGACATTCTAGTCTTCTCAGATCAGGAAAAAAAGCCGTAGGCCCTGTCTCCTGCATCTTCTTGGTACTGGTTAGTAGGGGACGTTAAAGAACCCACACACTTATCGCAAAGAGTAGGGGACGTAGTTCCTGGTGTTGTGGTCTGCCCTAGATTCTGAAATTGGGGGCATCTGCTAAATCTCCTTCAAAAAAAAATTGTAAACTGCTTAATGTAGTCTGACCAAAGTCCCCCGCAAACTGTTGTAAAGTGCCATGAGCAAACATGGATATGGCGCTATAGAAATACATCATTCATTCATTCATTCATTGGAATTATCTGGAGAAACAAGTCATTAATCACTTCTACAGGGTTCTAATAGTACCCAGGTAGCAGGTATTAATGAACTGGTTACCTACTTGTTGCCTTGACACATGTCATTTTACTCATAATTTACAAGTAAATGTTTTTAAATTTGTTCATTTTGAAGTGTAGGAATGAAAAATGAGTATAAATTAGAAGAGATCCTAAAATTCAGGAGTATACTACTGCATGAGTCTATAACTTCAGAATTTCAAAGGGTAGCGTGAACCTCCTTTTCAGCAGGAGGTCCTTGAGGCTATAAAAACTCTGACCCAGCTTTCTAAATCACCCATTTGTACCATTAAACCACTGGTTCTGGGGATTAAATCGTTAATGATTAAAAATTCTTCCTTTTGCTGTAGAATCAAACCCAAGTGGCAACAGCTTTGCAAGTGTTCTACAACTTGGGCTCGTTAGCCAGCACAGTTAATGAAGTGGTGGACAAGGTGAGGGAAAACCTGACAACCAGTGTTAAAGAAGCCTTGGATCCTAACACTCTCTCACAGATTCAACCTAATGCAGGTAAAGAGAATGAAAAATTGATCCAATTTCTTTTCCTTAGACTTGTTGTACTTGATTTCTTGTTGAGAAGGTGTCTCCTCTAAATTACAATATGACCTCACCAGAATCAATGACTTTACTGTGGACCACTGAACCTAGAGATCATTAAGCTACCCGTTCATCTTTACCTTCCATCTTGTTCTAGGAGTTGCTTCCATAAATACCAGTCAGCAGGTTAACAATTAGCTTTTATATCATATAATTTAGGAGCAGGAGGTCCTGGGCGTGCAGCCATTCCTACCCCAGGGAACACAGCAGCTTGGAGAGCCACTCTGTGGACCAGATTGGAGCAACTTATGGACTCTATCTACTCTGCTTGTGGCCAGGTAGAGCTAACTTTACCTGATTAGGGATTTTATTATGGGGCCAGTCACCAAATATGATCTACTATTCTGATCTAAAGCCTTATAAGGCCTATTATTACAGTGCTAGTCAGGCACTAAATAATGTTATTTTTTCACAATCTCGTTTTTCTTAGTTAGTTTCCTCACAAGCTTTTATTGATTTTGTTGATAGTGCAATAATTAAAGTTGCTTCACTGTCATGTCCCAGGTTCATCATCTTCAAAAGGTTTTGGCAAAGAAACGAGATCCTGTAACTCATGTTTGTTTCGTGGAGGAATTGTTGAAGGTATTTCATCCAGTCTTGAAATCTGAAAATGTATAAATTTAAAGAAAACTAAACCTGACTCAACTTCACCGTCTCGTTTCCTTTCAGGATGGGAAATCTTGTATCACCTCATTCTGGAATTCAGTTACTTCAATTTTGACGGAAGAATTCGCACAGGCTGCCCAAGGTTAGTTGCTTTCTAGGGTCGTTTTACTCAAACACTGCAAGAATTTTGTGTTATTATGGCAAACAGGAAAAAAAAGCTCTTCAGTTATTGCGTAGGAAAGCGTGGTCTGTTAATACATTATGTAGGAAACTGATTGACGTGTTTAAAACAGATAATGCATTTTATTATGTAAACTACGATGTTTTACAAGTATTTTCAGCCCTGAGGAAAGCAATAACTGAACACGTGTAAAATTGCGATTTTTTTTAAAGCGTGTTTGATATCGCCAAACAGCTGCTGATACGACATTTGCCGTCAGGTCGTTGAACGAATGGCAAAACGTTTACATTTCTCATTCCAAAGTCGTTTGTCGAATTTTCTTGTCAGCAAAGGCCTATTATGTTTTTATAATAAACAAATTAAAACACGGTTGCCAGCAGATATGGAATTTCTTTTCTCGTGATCAAGCACTATCTCACTCGTTAACCGTGCTCACTCTTGACATATCGAGTTGAACGCTCGAAGAGAAATATGAAATCTACGCGTGCCTATGTATTATTCTCTATTTGAAGTCAATCTTCTTTAATTATTTGTTCGATTCAGCCTCCACTTTTTTGAAGCAAGCATTTGAAGGAGAGTACCCGAAACTACTACGGCTTTACAATGATCTGTGGTCTCGGTTACAGCAATTTAGTGGTGCCTCAAATGCTCCTACTCCTGGCATTGTTCCTCAAATTGAACCTTCCTTTAGTCTGTTTCCAAGCGCTGAGGACCAGTTTAGTTTGAGGTACGTTAAACATGCTTAATGTAATGTACAACACTTAGGAAGCGGCTAGAGTCCCCAAAAGTGGGGAGAAACACTCGACTACATGTACTTCTCCAGTTTCCCCCTACACTTCCTTCGTGCTCTAGCCGCTTCCAGCGTGCTTTACAACAGAACTGAGTACAAAAAGGTATTTTGGTTTTATCAACTGAGTTAAAACGTAAATTGGCCAACGTGAAGAGTTTCAAAGATGACGTTTCGAGCGTTAACCCTTTGTCAAAGCAAATGTGAACAGACCAGAGCACAGTTGAGGCTTCTTTATCTGTTAAATAGTGCTATATTGTACTTTGTGTTACTTTTGTTGCCGAGATGACACTGAATAGTTAACAATTATTCCATGCACAAAGCATTTTCTAATAACTATCGAGCAACTTGGCTAAATTTAGCACCAGCCAATCTATAAACATTTTTTTTCGCAGTCCAGAGCAAGCCCTGAAGAACAGCCTAGCCCCCTTTGAGATTGCCTACCTGTCGAGATCTTTATCCAGATTACTGGACCCAATTAACCTGGTGTTCCCATCTGGTGCGCGGAACCCTCCTTCCAAGGAGGAGTTAGCCAGTATTGCCAAGACGATTTCAAGGTAAGAAACCATGACTCTTGTGTGGAATACGTTACGTACATGTCAGTCAGTGTCTGCGCATTCTTAAATGCACCTTATATTTCCTTAAAAAATACGATAAAATTGAATATTAGTCGGAAAGATTTGAAACTAGATTGATTTGTATTTTTCTTATCTCTTGATAAATTATTGTAACTCTTTGCAAAAAGGAAAAAAAAACTAATTTTTTAAAATAATTGAATGCCTTTTCGTATCATTCTAGTGAGCTGAGTGTGGCCAGTGTAGATGTTGGACTCACAATAACTGTAGCCAGAAATGTCGCCAAAACAGTGCAGCTGTACACAGCAAAATGTGAAGAACTGGTGAGAGACTTGGTTTGATATCTATTTCCTTTCAATACAACCTTATATTAGCCTGTGGAGCGCTTTTCTATAGATTGTCGTAGAAAAAAACCAAAGGAGAAAGGACAACACACTGTACCTTAAAGAGAACCTTGAGTAAAAACAACTAAACTGCCTAAAGCGCGGGAAAACGCGGGCGACGAAGTCGCGACTGGTTTTAATTTTGCATCTGGTTGGTCGAGAGAGCGGCTCGAGTTTTCTGGACCAATCACAGAGCGAAGAAAAGAAAAACCAATGCAATCTCTGGTTACTTTCGACACTCAATTACAAATCGTTCTTATTCAGATGTCTTGGCGCTTAGTCACTGATTTTTTACTATAAAATATGAGCGCAGTAACTCAGGTCACTTCTTTCTATTCAAAAAATTGTGGCGAAAAAAGGGGCGACAACTCTGTAACTCTCCTTTTTGAATGTTTTAGGGAGACATCGTGTAATTACTCCAGAAATTGTATAAACAAAAGATTTATAAATCAAATTTATTTATTCTCAATTAATTTAAAATATGTCTAATATTCAATTGAAGTACTCTACATCCGCCAAGGAGGTAAAGTGTTCGTTATCTCATTATTTTCTCTATTTCATATTCTCACTTGTTTTTTCCCCTAACTTATCGCCATTTTCTTTGCTGGATCTATCTTCACGCGACCAAGTTTCCGTTTCGTTTCTATGTTCAACTGTATTTGGACGTTCTTTGCTGTCGTAATTATCAGGGAAATTCAGTTCTTCGATGCTTGTGCTTATGGTAGAATTGCTGTAGGACTTTATAGAAGGCCTATCTCTTTCGAACTTGAAATCTTTTCCAAGGTTTAACGAGGTTTGATTTTCCACCCCTGCAGTTGAAGAATAATCCTTTGAAAATTTGAAAATCTCTCTCAGTTCTGTGTGCGACTTTGTTGTATTCAGCTGATACGTTCCTGAAGAATCAGTTAGGTTCATTAGTGGCTATGATTAGTTAAAATTTCGCTCACACCCGCTCGTAACGTTTCCTGTAAAGCATTATCCATGAATTAATTTTTCATGCCTTTCGTATGTCGGGTGCCAACGATATGCGATCTAAACTTTGGAAGTAATTTTCATAGCATTATAGTTCAGTGGCTTTAAAACTTACTCCAGAAATTGTATAACTAGATTGATCTTACCACTTCAAAACTACCTCTAAAATGCTCACAGATATACTTGCTAAGGCTTAAGGTTTGGCTCGCGACTTGCTAACTCCGAGGTTTTTCCTTCATTGAATGGGTCAAATACTACCATTCTAAACCTTTCCTAGTTTCTGTGACGTGTAGCGACCATGCAGAATTGTTACTACAGTACCCCCGACGGGATGCTAGTCATCACAGACTTCCCCACCCCTGTCTCTCCTTTTTTTTTTTTTTTTTTTTTTTAACTTTGGTTTATCAACCCATACTTACCAAAATGACAACCGCTTCAACCTAATAAGAGGTGGTAAGAATAAGAATCCGCCATTTATGAAGTATTGTCAGAATCTCCGAAGTAATGTGCAAGAGATATATCAAGGTGGTTATAGAGGATTAGAAAGCCCTTCACCACTGACCTGAGATTGAGAGTGAGTCAGACTAGAGTCAGATGTAAGTTGGACGCCTACACCGCTTGTCTGAAGAAGAGAAATAGTTTAGTCGAGAAGAGTGCTCATGACGAAAATATCGAAAGGGAAGTTTCTTTATATCGTGAAGTTACGTTACATGTAACGCAACGCTGCAGCGAGAAGAACGTAGTGCGATTTCTGCGAGAGATGACTGTGTCATTAGAGAAACAAGATATAGGACGCGACTATGAAGGGAATGATAGCTAAGAGTTTTAAGCTTGTGCAGTCCGTGTCCAGGGTCTCTTTCCTAATGAACCCTTTTCCATTTTCTCATAATCATTTAGGTGTTTTACAATCTTACGTATATTTAGTTTTAGCTGTGGTTGCTCTGTTTCTCGTTTTGTGAATTTCTACAGCAAGTATTTTAACAAGTCGACATATTTGCTTTTCTTTGTTTCCTCTGTTCGCTTTAAAACGTATTCGGTTTGGATGACAATGGGACCATAAAACACGGAAACACGAACAACGCATTGACACAAACCACGTTCTTCCTGTTCATGGATAAGTGTTCATATCAATGCTTTTACGTATTGCTTGATCTTTACCTATCACAAAACTCTCCCATATTTCAGTTGGTAGCCAAAATATCCACATTAACCGTGAAATCTACTTTAACCAAAGAGACGCTTATACTGTTTTACTGAGTGCGCCAAATTTCCTTACATCTTACCTCGTTTACATGGTATCACACTTTGGATTTCCTTCGCTGCGCTCAAAACGGAAGTGAAAACACTTGATAACAGCGAGAGGCCTAGGGCCAAGTACATTACACGTACTATCCACATGCCTCGTTCGTAAGGCGAGTCTGGCTCTTTGCCTTCATTCGGTACCAGATCCCCGAAGCCAATCGTGCTTAGCGCGACGAAACAATAATAAACGCAGTCTAGGTAAGTCCAGCCGAATTCTCGCTCAGAGTAGTAATACATGATTCCTCCAAGAGGAATCCAGAGCGTAATGAGAAGGGTATTTATGGCAAAGCATTTAATATGCTCTTGTGTTGGTAATTCTCGCTCAAACGCAGCCTTTTCGAAGTATTTAATCAGCAGATGAATGCCATAATTGATGTGTTCACCAATGGATTGTAGGGTCAGTAGATTCAATGGAATGCCAAAGAGAGCGAAAAAGATTAGAAACAGTCGACCTTCTTGTGTTTTGGGGGCCAGGTGTCCATATCCTGGAAAAAAAAAGACAAATTGTCTTATTTCCTGATTCTGTTAAATAAAACTACAGCCTTATAGAGTGTGGTCATTTTAAGGAAGCAACTGAGCTAGACAATAAATAACTTGTTAGACGTTTTGGTGTGTAGTGTCGCTGCGTATTTTTACTCGTTGTTTGTATTTTTACTCGCCCTACAGGCTCGTTAAAATACGGCACAACCCGTAAAAATACTCAGTGATACTTCACACCAAAACGTCTAATGAGATAAATTTATGCTCTGCCAGGTGGTTTCATTATTTCGATTGTGAATGGGACCCTAGACTGTTGCCATTCTCATAATACATGTAGCTACCAAGCTTCAGATTCGATATTATTTATCATATGTGCTTCTAACTTTTAAGTTCGTGAATGAAACTTTTGACTGAGATCATTCAAATGAAAATCACTGAATATAACTTTCATGTGATCCTGTTTTTATTGGTTTGACCTTAAGTTATCAGTCCATATATTACAATCTAATTTTTGGCCTATTCATATAAAAGCTACCGTATGGCTCTTCCATATGGTACTGTTTGATATATTTACATGTCAATGTTTTTGTTCTTACGATTTTTCACCCTTTTCACTGTAACATTAATAATCACATTCCCCACACTTTTCTCTTTACAAAAACTATGGCACTGACAAGAAGAAGTTCTTTTGACTTTTAGGGTTTCTTAAATTAGTGATCATTTCCTATAATCTCATGACCGTTACATTTAATTCAAGAGCGATATTGTAAGGAGAAATTAGAAGCCAGTCATCCTCTTGTAAGAGGCGCGGTGGCCTCATGGTTAGTGCGCTCGACTCCGGATCGAATGGTCCGGGTTTGAACCCTGGCCGGGGTCATTGTGTTGTGTTCTTAGGCAAGACACTTTACTTTCACAGTGCTTCTCTTCACCCGGGTGTACAAATGGGTAGCCGCTTCATGCTAAAGGAAACCGGAGTTAAGCGCCGGCCTCACGGGCCACTTGGGCCTGTATAAAGGCTTTACTTTTTTTTTACATCCTCAGGGGTTAAGGAAGTTTTTGTCAATGTTAAATTTACAAAGCTTACTTCTTACCAATTGTGGTTGTTACACTTCCAACGAAGTACAATGACTGATAATAACTCCAGTCGTTGTGACTGTACTTGCATCTGTGCGCCTTTTCAAACAGAAAACGAAGCTCCGCAATATATAGGTCTATGACATCCATGGTTTCGTTAAATCTTTGCGTCATATTCTCCTTTAACTGATCGATTTTCTTTGCAAAGTGGGCACCAGTTGATTGCCCATCGTGCTCTAGTGCCGAAAATATCGCCGCACCCGATGTGAGGTACACTATTAACATGGCAACTCGCAGAAAAAGTGTTCTTGTCTTCCTTTTCATTTCCATGTCTGTTCACTTGTTTGGATGAAAGTTGAAGTTTTTGTTAGCGGAAGGTCTCCAGACTGCAGTTTTTCTGCGAAAACATCAAAATGTGGAGAGAGGTTAGATCGCGTCATTATGCAAAAGTCGGGCAAAATTTGGGAATATTTTCGCTAGTGAATGGCTGGTAATCTCTAGCTGAAGGATTTTGCATCTGAATAGAAATAGTAATTTTGTTCAAATATTCTTTTGAGCAACGATCGAGGTTACCTTTTTAACCCAATATGGAACCTTTTGGGCGTCGTGGTGTCTGAAATCCCTGGGCAAAGGGCGAATTCAGACAACTCTCCCTCTCTACTAGCTTTCCTTATGGCAGCTCGACGAGTGTTTTTTGAGAATATGTCGCAACTATTTGAAAAAAACTGCAGCAACACTTAAGCCTGCTGACAACTTAAACTTGGGTAACAATGTCACCGATACGAAGACAATGCTGATGGATTAAGGGAGGGACATTGCAAACCCCAAATCACAAAATTCTGAGCCTTTTTAATGCCATTTGTTTGTGATAATCCTCTATAACGTCGATTTTGTTGCTTTTGTTTTGCATTTTTTTATCTTCATGTGAATTTGGTTCTGGCCTTAGTTATTAAATTCGATTGCAAGTTGCACATTTTAGGCACGCGTTTTAACTTTTGATGTTGTTTTTTTTACTCTTAAACTTTTTCAAGCTTTTCACTCTTAGTTGGCTATCACAAACTTGTCAGAGGAAAATTTGAAGTTCGTATTTTAATTAAAAAGATTTAAAAGATTTAGAAAGGAAAATAATTCCATTTTGAAACCATAACGAGTCTTACTAAAATTTATTTATTATGATAATGGCAACTAAACCAGCTGCGTTGTAACCGCAATGGTAGAAAGTGAAACGTTGCACGAATGTCTAAAAATTCCTTTACGTCTAAAATCACCGAAATGCGCGCAATTTTCGATGTGGAACGTTTGTTTGTTCGGAGATTTACCAGAGTTATTTTTTTTGTATAACATTGTCTTTCAATTTGCGTTATGTAAATCTTTCTTGATTGTTCAGTTTAATAATTTATATTGGTTACATTTTTTTAACGAAGCGAACTGTTATTTGTTGCAAAATCTCTCTTGTAACTTGACTGGTTCTTCATGACACGAATGGAGACCTGTGTCGTGCTACGAAAGTATCGTTTCTTGTAATGAAACCCTACTATAGAGTTGTACATTTTAAACTGAAATATTAATTTAAAAGAACCGATGCTTGTAGATGTCGTTAGTTAAAATCCGATTCCGTTCCTATTTCTGACTTACGAGTTCAGTCAATTAAAATTATTTAGTAGTTTTTCATCTGGTGTTGTTTCCTTACATCATTTTATCAAGTATAAGTGATTTGTTTTTCCTTCATCATCAAATTTTCATCCATGATGAGATTCAAATAATTTTACACTTGTTTTGTAAGTGGTGTTTGTTTTGCTTTTCAATTTATCCCTAACTTACATATTTTCGTCGACAATGTTGGCAAATGTCGCCTTTGAAATGAGAATGTAAGTTTTGTTACCCATTTCAGGTCTTAAGGGAATTCTTAGGTCTACCTTTGTAAGTTATACGTACACATGCATATGATTAAGTGGAAATAATAAAAAAGAAGCATTTTTCTTGAGTATTATCACTTGAACTGAAATAAGTTAATAAAACATACACGCTTAAGAGATCTATTCTTACAGACAGCTGGGTTAAAAGAGAAACCTCTTGCGAATGTTTTCCTTGTTTATCATCGTGGCCTAAATATATACAACATGTAAGGTTTCCGTGAGACAGAACGCGTCAACTTTGCAAAAGAAGCACATTGAAACAAACCTTTCAAAGCCTTTCTTTGGGAAAATGACTCGTTTTGAGTTTTACGTTTCCCATTTTGTCTTCGTTGGTAGGGTTTTGCTTTGTACTTCGTTCGTTGCCTAAAATCCTCTGTTTTACGTATTTCTTCCTGAGTTGCACCGGTTTTATTTTACACCATTTTTGAGGGTATTGTTTGTCAGCGGCGGTGATTTCTACTTGCGGTTCTTTTATGCTGTTAAGGGTTTTGAAACTCTTTGTCTCATCACAACCGATACTTAATCCGTGCCGTTAATTAAGAGCAAATTTCCCCAAAAGTACGCGTGAAAACAAAAGAAAACATGCTTTAATTAGCAGGTTTTCTAAACGTGTACAAACAAGCTTGAAGTTTCTCAGCCTGCATTACAGCTGATTTCGACGTCATCCATTACTTTGAATTGAAAGATTTGGCGTTAACTTAGGTTTCTTATGACAATCTTAAGGGTCGGAAATATTTTCAAAGGTAGTCTTTCTTAAAACTGAGTTGTATAGGGCTGCAAGGGGTTTCCGTCTTTCCTAGTCAAGCAGGAAATATGAACCTCTTTTAATCTCTGTTTACAGTTTTTTAAACTCTTGTTTACATGCTTAGGTTTTCCCTACCTAATCACCAGCCACACATTTCCCCTCCTCCCCCTCCCCCCCACTTTCTTTTTCTAGCGATACGTTTGCTCGTTGTAGCTGCTAATTGCATATTTCCCGCTCTTGGAACTGGATACATATTTTCCTGCCTTTTTCTGGGTCTTTATTGTCCTGCATAAGTCCAAGACACTTAAGCTTCCACCCTTGGTATTGGTTGAATTTTTCTCTCCTTTTTGCTAGTTATGTGATACCTGCTCATGCCGGATTTATACTTGATTTTCCCGGACTTGCACTGGGTTCATGAATCATGATTTTCCCTTCCCGTACCCATGTATTGTCATGGTGATCAGAAGAGTCGTTTAAGAGTCGTTGGTGAACTGCTCTTTTTCCAGTAGAAAATGTTATATTTCATGAAACAACGTTGTGTTTTGGTGACGAAAACTGCGTTTATTTCTCTGTACAGCTCGTCGCGGGGCCCGAAGGAAATCAGTTATATGACCACGTGACTCCAGCTCAGCAAAAGAACGCTGCCATTGTGAACAGTTTGTTTCAATTACACCAAGCCGTGATCAAGGTAACTGTTCATTGAATCTCACATTTGATTTCGCGTGAGAGATGAAGCTGCAGTAATTTAAAGCTGTATAACTTCGGACGACAGGGTAATTAAAGGAAAACTACTTTTTCTCTGGTCATCATTATGTATAATATAGTAGAATTACAACACTCTGTTTTCTCGATGTGTTTCTGCCTCCGTTGACTTCTGACTAATTTCAACATTTGTAGTTTAGCGTTTCACCGAAAACTCATTTGATGTTGTTATTAACGTAAACTGTCAAAATGTCTTCACGGCTGACTAAAATCCTGTTCTTTGCACAATGCCTTCCATTTTATTTACTTTTGTACTTCTCAGATTGTGGATGGTCTGTGGTCTCAGTCCCCTGGTGTTGCTGTGGATGCAATATCTACCGGGTTACAGGTAAGATTTTGCTTGTAGTGAAACCAGTTTGCGTTTTTGAAGTGCCAATTCAACGACAGTCGTTTTACGTAGTGTCTTTGTTTTTTTTATATGAATTAAATGATTTTCATATATTTACAGTCATTTATTCATCTCTTCATGGGTTTATTTGGAACCAACCTAACGACCAGCAACCATTTGTCTAGTTAGCTTAGTTGGAAGAGCACTACACTAGTATCGTCGAGGTCATGGGTTCTAATCCCGTACAGGCGTGAATTTTTTCTAGGCCTTATTTTCACTACGGCTTAAGTAGTGGTCATTACTGCAAAGATCGCTTCCATATTCATTTATTTGTCCGCAGTTCAAAAGTATGATTTTACATCTTCACAGTCATTTGTCTTTGTTTTGTTTGACAGTAAACCACTGTAAAATGTCTCGGCGTCTTTTCAATCAGTCAACGTCTAAATTTCTTTTTGCTGGTTATCTCCAAGATGGCTCAAGACTCTGACAGCAATAGATTATATGATAATTTAATCTGATTATTCCACAGGTATTGCAGGGTACTAAGTTTTTGACCTGTAAATTTCCACTTTGAGACAAATCACACAGCTTAGAGAGGCAGAACAAATTCGTTAGATTGAAAATTTCTTGAAAACTAATTTTCTCAATCGATGTTAACACATTTCTTTGTTAGCTGTTGTTAAAATTCATTCATCTCGGTGATGATCATTTCCTCAATTCTCTTTACCCGCTTTTATGACATTGTTAGGAAATTGTAAGGAGAATTTTAGTACTAATCACTCCTGAATGCAAAAATTTTTCTTCTTCCATCTTAAACCGGCGCTAACTTTGCTAATGCAAACTGTATTCATTGGAAGTTTGCTAGTAATTGATATCTTCTTTTTCAACTCTAAAAATAAAAGTCGATTCTATTTCGTTAATTGGTTATTCGATATCTTTCATCCTTTCTTAAAAAGCCAGTTTATCGCCGGCCGCTTTGAATAATTATATTATAGTTATAATCAAGCACTTTCGTGCATTTTTATTTTTATATCTTTGTGGTATCATATCTGATAATCTCTTGTCAAAATTCTTTTCTTTTTCTTTTTTACCACAGATCAATTAGTCTCGTAAAGTTCCGATTATTTTATGACGACCGGAACTTTGATCAAACAAACATTTTATAATTGATCTTCTGCTGTAACTCAAATTTGATCTATTGGTTTCTTTGCCCATTGATGCTTTTTTGTTGTTTTTATATTCAATTCGGTAATAATTTTGCGGGGAAAATTGTCACGATATTTTGGTAAAACTCAAACCCAAGATTTTCTTACGTGCTATTGGAAATAAAGTTCATAAAGATGACCTAGTCCACTGGACTGGGGCTTCCGTGTAAGAAAAAGGTTTTAAAAAGGCAAGAAATATGCGCAGCTGGCGTGGAATCGGAGTCCTTTAGTGAAAAAGAGTACAAATGTTGAATTATATTCGTGTTTTGAGTATTCTTTTTGAGTAGTTAACTTATTCGGTTTGATGCGGCAGAGGTTCCAAGTTTTTGTCGATCATCTTTTGAGACTTCAACCACCCACATTTTGGTTGCTTGGAATAGTTTTTTGTGTCTATATGCAATTTCGAGGTTTTTCCTGATATTGTGCCTTTCTTGTGCCTTAGAATAAATAATTCCTCCTATTTACATATAACCAGTGGGTATGAATTGACATGGATATCCGGATGACGCAAAAAACCAGACAACGAAGCCGATATACGGCCAAACAAACAAAAAATCAGAAAACTTACAGGAACTCTATGGTCACGAACGCGGTTATATGAAACAAAAGCGAGTTTTCGGTGACTTTTGAACTCGAGAGGGTCAGATGTGACTTACGCACGCAGAATAAACATGTTTACTATGTCCTGCTGGGATGTGAGAAATTGCACTTGTGAATGAAAGGATTAAGGAGAGCTGCTGTCATTCCTAGATAGACTTTGACAGCATGGATCGCTGAAAGCGGTCGAAAATTACATTATTTTCGAGTTTCGCAAGTAAACAACTGAGGCAATGGACCCTTAACACTAAGAGAAGGAAGCAAGCAATTATGAATGGACGAGAAAGTCTTTTAACGGATATTCCCGTAAACAGACAGCTATATTTACCACAAATATTCTTCCTACGTAACCTTTTAAGCCGCCTTTTACAACTTCACCTGTTCTTCTATGAGGCTACAGGCAAAACTTCTTTTTGTTCTATAGCGTAAAACGAGTGGTACTGCGATAGTGTGTTCTGTTCTTGACGCCGTTTTTAACGGATAATTACCACCTCATTTTGTTATTCACCCTAGTTAATTTATTTATAAAAAGAAACCTTCTCTATAGTACGTTTTACTGTTATTGTAATTTTTGTTTTCTGCTCGATATCGTTGCTTAAGATGTTGGCTGTTGTCAAAACTCGGTTAATAAGACTCCACCGTTCAGGTTGAGTTTTTTTCGTATGTGGCTTCAAACAATTACAAGTTTCCAGAAAATTTCGCGTAATTGATTGTATTTGTTATTCTTCATACTATCCCGCACATTGATTTGTCAAGATTTAAGGGAGAAATGATATTTTGAGATTGAGGTATTTCCTAAACAGTTGTTCTCCCAGGAAACCGTCCGCCATACGCAAGAATGCATGGGTTGTGAATTGGGCATGCGCATATGCGCATATTTTTTCGAAGTCGGAACAATTTTTGATAGAGACCACAATAAAACGATAGAGTTGGCCTGTTTCTTCTACACCAATTATTCTAATCTCAATTGAGATTTTTTTCGCCCAATGTTAATCTTTCTCTAGCTTCCAAAAAACTTGCATGTTTGACATTCTGACTTTTACCGACTCGATTTTCTTTTAATCGTGCAAGAAAGCTTTATTGTGAATTTTTGCATATGTGTTGAGCTCGCAAAGCGAGTCGTATTTTCGCGTACATCGTGAAAGCACTTTTGTGTGAAGAACAAAAGTCGATTTCCAAACTTGTCATTTGGTGCGAGGCTGTGAGCAAATCGTAAACATTACCTATTGTGTCTGATTCTCAGCTGTGCATATGTACTCCGGCAGTTTTGTTCATCTGTGGAAGACAAATTAAGATGAAATGCGCTTTCTAATTGAATTGCTCGCGGATGTTGCAAATGACATTTCGTATGTTGTGTTTTTTTCGGAAGTGACAAATATTAAATGCTCACGAGAAGATTGAGTGGTCGCGCTTCCGCTAAAATTATCCTACTCAAACTACTCGGTATTATTTTAATGCATCCGATTTTATATTCCCACCACAAAATGCTCACAACTGAAAATATTCTAGACCCAAAGTTTAGTTTAACATGGATAAGTAGAGGGAAATTTTCAAGGCATTTCTTGTAAATATGCGTAGGTTTTCGTTTGATTTTGTTGTACCCGTGCTCATACACACGCGAAAGATTACAACGCGTGCGATAGTTGTATCAATGAAGTGTTAAATCATTTTTTTTGCTAGAAAATAGCCCTTTAATCGAGATATATTGGGGCATGAAGTTTTTTTAGGTTTCTTTGTTCGCGCTGAAATAGCGAGGGCCGTTTTTTTGAAGCAGATGCGTAATACTTACTTTTTTTTCGAATAGAAATTATATGAGTGATACGGCAGATTTTCGAATCTCCATCATGGGCCATTCGCATTCGGATTTTTACGTTTATCGTCAACAATATGGTGGTAAATAACCATTAGATGTTGAGGAACAGTATAAACTTTATAAAACAACCATTTTTGTTTTCGTTTCCAAACTTTGTAGTCTAGAAATTTTTCCCGGTACAAGAGAGGAAAGTTTGTTTATTCGAACATGTTCGATCAATTATTTTTAACTTCAGCACCATCTAGTCTCCGTTAATTGCTCCTAGCTTAGGCGTTGAAAAGGAATGAAAAGATTTAACTTTTTGTTGCTCCTTTGATCGTTGAATAAATCCCCTTTCTTTTCATTTGACTTTTGGTTTAAATAATTTCTGATCTTAATTTCTGAATTTTATCTTGATTTTAATTTGCGTCGGGCAATAACACTCATTGAGCTACACTTCTCAGAAGCGTAGTAATCATATTTTTTGCTGTTCTCTCCGGCGCCCGGTCTCAGAGTTATGACTTTTTGATCATATATTTATTTGGGTACTAACCTTTTTTTCCGTGGCTGCGTTGCGTGTGATGTTAAGATGACTTCAAAGTAATACTAGTGAAGCCACAGAACTCATCAAGTCTTTTTAAAACTCATATCTCATCCAACACGAGGTATTTTTTTATTCCATCGCCTTTTGTCCAATGGTATAAATTTTCTCTTGTATCCTGTAGTTAACGATAAAAAAACAGAAAGTTACGCACGAACTTCAATCTACTACGGGTTTTCTTCGTCGTTGCAAAGCGATTTTGTAGATTAATAAACTTGCATAGACAAGTTGTTCCTCCAGGCAGTTTTCGATGTTATGTTTTTCGGTTTTGTTTACTGGCCTGTTGTCTCGTTTAAATAATTCTTCTCTCTTTCTTGGCTGTCCTAATGTTATCTTCTTCTACGGTAATTCATGGATGTCATGAAAATTCCGTGTACTTTGAATTGCAAATGAACCGTCTTCGTCAAACAATTAATCTCAATTCAACTGGTTTGTTTTCAGGGGAATACCATTTTGTTGATGAAGCGACTCTTGCTCTGCGATTCAATCATTGGCTTACACAAAACACATTTCTAATTAAAATTTGGAATTTACTACTCACTCGAAAGCGCGGACAAGCGGGCCTCTATTTTCATTTGTCAAGGAAAGAAAAGGTTCTTATTAGTACACAGGAGACACGAGAATGTTTAAATGATTCCAAATGTCTCTTTTCAAAGTAAAGGCGATTCAACAGATTAATGGTCCATTTCTTGCTGGACAGAGTGTCAGTGCAAGTTTAATTTAGTTAGAATGTTCAATTCATCGCGTTCTCTGACCTCAATTAGTTTTTATCACTTCCACGCGAGTAAATTAAAAATTTCTCGTCAATTTTTCTTAAATTACGATTTAATTTGTGGTAATTCAACCAGGCGAACTCTTGGATTTCAGTGAATGCGTTTTGCATGTTTCTACGCAAATTTGAGCCTTTTAACGATTTTTAAAGCTGTCTTGTCCATACGACAAGAATCGAACTTGGCCGATGGTTTTGGAAACGCATTCAAATTGTTTATAACCTTTTTACGTCTTATGTTATCAATGACTTCTTAATTTCTCCGAGATTCCTCTGGTGAAAGCTAATCAATTGCAAATCTTACGGACAGAGATTCTGTCGTAACGTGAACTAATTTTCCATAAAATTGTAATCGATCAGCGAAATTGACCACCTATTTGATCATTTGACGTCTAGATCCGCATCAACACCAGCTGGTTGAACGCAAAATGGCGGTTAATTAACTTCAATTTGATACTAAACCAAGCGGTTTTACATGCCCCCGACTCGATGAAAACAATGTCTTAAGACGCAAATTACCTTGGCCTGTGTGATGTTCAGTTTTGTGGAAAGGCACACATCGTGAGCAAGCGCTTTTCGTGCTGAGTTGCCAACGTTAATTTATTAATTATAAATGCCCCCCCTTCCCCCCTTATACATTGATAAAGATCGCTTACTCTATTTCAATACACAATGGTAATGAGCTGAAATCTATCCTTATTTACAGATACGTGGGCGGAATACTCAATTTCCATACGTAGTTCGTGTGCGTTCGCGAACGTGATTTTTTTGCTTGAGTTGAAAATGAAGAAAAAAGCTGGTTATGCTTTATTGTATGCTAAACCTTACAAACATGTAATGCTAACATACTAATGACATGATGAATTTACAGACTTGTCCGACTATGTTCCGAAAATTAGCCGAGGGTCGACTGAATGTTTCACGACACTTCATATTCTCGACTATTCTCGACTAAGATTAAATTGAAGAAAGATGTTTTTTCGTCTTGTCACGAGCTTGGGACAAAGAAAAATTCTGAGTCCCCACGAGGAATCGAACCTCAGAACTTCGGATTCCGCGCTCCAAGGTCGGGGGTTCGACTCCTCATGGGACTCAGAATTTTTTCTTTGTCCCACGCTCGTGATAAAACGTAAAAACATCTTTCCTTATTTCTATACCGAGCTCAAAACTTACCATCTCTCTTATTCTAACTACAAAGATTAAATTACGTTCGACACCATAGTGTGTTGGGACAGCGGTTTCATATTCACCATGGGAACGGGAATTAGGTGTTCGTGGGAAAAAAACTTTTTCGATGTGACGTGATGTGCTGTGGTTGCTTTTACACACCACAATACCTGACAAACCCAAGTTTTGTCTTACGAAGGTTTTTTTTTTGTTTTACTCTTCCGTTAGACAAACAAAGAAACAAACAAACAGACTAACCAACAACAGACACGCCATCAGCTGATATACATGTTTCAGAGTAATGTCAGTATCTAAGCAACTGTGCACCTACCCCTCCCTTAACCTAACAGCAGTCAACTGATAATAAGTGAGATTTTATGTTTGGTTTGGGGAGGGGTAGGTATGCAGTTGCTCAGATACTGACATTGAACCCGTATTTCCCTGTTATTCCGTTCTGGACAATGTCGTATCTTTGTCAGTGATGAGATTTGTTTTGAATTAATGAGAGCTGATAGGCTGTTTTTCTCCAGTAATATTGACCTTAAAGTTGATTATTTTTGCCTCAGGGAATTCTAGCGCTGATTAATTCGGCTTTGGATCCACTGCTTGATGCGATCAGCCGTGATTTGGAAAACCATATATTCAAGATGCATTCCGAAGATTTCACAAGGTGAGTCCATGCACTTCCTAGAAGCTTGGAAGTTTGCGACGTTCAAACTTCATCGTTTCTCGCACTTAGGAGGACAACATGCTGCGATTATAGTCATTAAAAAGTAGTCTAGTAAGAATTGCAACTTTCGTAGAAGGAAAACATTTTATATTTTCCAACTATTGTGATATATTTAAGGTTTTGCGTCGACTGAGAGAAATTGGTCTTTTTTTTTTTAAATAAATAACTGCTATTATATTTTTGATTGTAGTTCCACCTTGTCGCGTGACATTGCTGATAACCCGGATGCGCCATGTTCTGGTTACATTCAAGACTTGCAGGTATGGGCTGAGGATTACCTTTGTTAACTTTGTTGACCTTCTTTGAACCTTTTATCTTCTTACTCAGAGGAGGGGATCCTATGTGTTTTGTCTTTCAGGATTTTATTATACACGTTCAAAAGAACTACATTGCACTTTATGAGTGCAGAGAAATTCTCTCGCAAAGGTAAGCAACACGCAACCCTTTTTTGATTCAATTATGTGCACCAAAATTTGTCGACTGAGTCGAATCTGTGATCATCTTAGCCGAAAGGAGAATAAAAAGGAGGTGTGGGAAATCAGAGATTGTGCCATTCGTCACGGCTGCGTCGCTATAACCATTTGACTTCCAGAAATGATCTTCTCCTTAAAGTATTAGTACGCTTTGCAATAAGCAAATGATGAGGATAGTGATACGTATTAGCCAGAAGGAGGCGGCTTGATATGGCATCAAATTCTCTTCGTTAATATATAAAGAAATGTCTCGTAGTCAGAGGAGAGAATTACAATGCCCATCGTTGGATTAAATACAACGCTACGCAGGCTGCTTGAGTTCATAAGCTCTCAACAACACTGTTTCCATGGTAACTGCACATCTAGTTTTACAGTTCAACATGCTTCTTGTCTTTAGTTGTTGAATCCTTCCGCTTTTTAGGTTGGAAGAGATCGTGTGTCGAACTATTGAGCTGTTTGTTCGTCACGCCAGTCTACTTAGAGCCATTGGCGAGGGAGGAAAACTGAAGCTTGCTGCTGACATGGCTCAGGTATGCTGTTTTCACAGTTTCATTACTTAACCAAGGATTCAGGATGGGAGTTTTGTTTAGTCTTGCTGTTGTTGAGGTGAATAACTGCCCGTGTTGACCCAGGTTTCCGAAGTAACTTTCCCCATTGACACACCTGCATTCCCAACCACATTTACTAGGTAACTTACTATATTTGTTGTTGTTTTTGTTTTTGTCTAGATTGAGTTTGCTGTTGGTCCATTATGCCACAAAGTGTCAGATTTAGGAAAGTCCTACAAACTTTTGAGATCTTTTAGGTGAGATGTGCGTAATTGTACGTTCTCCATCACCCGTGTTTGCTAGACGGAAGGATATAACAGTGTACCGACAGGTAGACAGACGGACGGACCAACGTACATGGACAGACGGACCAACGAACATGTAGTAAGACATTCAGACGGACGGACAACTAGACAGACAGGCACGCGGCCAGGCGGAAGGATAGAGACTCACGGACGAAATTGACAAAGAGGCAGATCGATTATTCAGCAGTGAGACGAAAAAGGCGGACTAACAAAGAGAGAAACACAGACAGGAAGACTAAAAGACGGTCAGACAAACTGATGCACAGTTCTACGAACGGACGTTCGTGCGGACAGACGGACGGATAGACAGACCGACGGACAGAAGTACGGACATACGAACGGACAGGCGGACGGTCAGATAGATAAAGAAACATTTATTCGATGGATGCTGTCAAGCACACAGCTGCATCTTCCAAAAGTGTTAAAATCATTTCTTTTTTCTAGACCTCTATTATTTCAAACCTCTGAAGATATTGTAAATAATCCGGCCCTTGGAGAAAGTCTTCCTCACAGTGTGGTATTGCATCATTTGTTTTCACGCGCTCCAAACGAACTTAAATCTCCTCACGAGGTACGTACCTTCATTTTCCAGCCCTACGGGCTTTCTTTTACACAGACATCCTTTGAAGTTTCTTCTTTATTAAGGTTTATCTCTAAGGGTGCGAAATTGATATCAGAGGGAACGAACTAAATATAAATATAGATCATTTTGAATTAAGAAACGACCGTTTTATTGCTACGGTTAGAAATTATCAGCCTTAAGACCCTAGTACTTCTGGAGGTGACTGACATGTTACTTCTCCCTATAATATCCATACACTGTCCAGCAAATAGGTATTGAGATTACTCCAACCTCTCAGGTAGAAGTGATCTTGATCTAGCAACAAATTCTCGTAACCAACTTACAAGGAAATGTGTAACAGCTATAGGGGAGAATTAACATTAAGATCTTAGGGGTTGAAGGGTTAATAGTAAAAGACTGCCACTAAAAAAATATGGTTTAGCCCTGTTATCCACTTGTGCGCAATCAAGCCCTCCATCAACTTAACTCAAGATTCATTAAAAATTGTTGGGCCCACGGTTTAAATCATCATGTAAATCGACTTCAGTGTTGCTGATACAGAAATTTTGAATCCAGTTTTGAAAGAGATCCTGGAAACTCGCGCCCCCTTGAAAGAATTCTTAAACTTATTGTGACTCGGGAACTCGCGTTCTCTCGCGCGTCAAGCGGTTTGCGTGTCTCTACATAGAATTCCTATGAACTTTCGGTGAAATTACCTTTGTTCTGACAAGCTGTTGTGACTGCTTTGGCTCAGGTTTTACTAAACTCAATCGAAAAGCCGTCCTTACGCTGCATGTAGTAGTAAGTCAGCTAAAATTAATTTTGATTTGTCTGAAGGTGGCAGGATGGTCATTGGGTTTCTACTCTCAATGGTTGGATGAGCACACATCAGAGGAAGAGAAACTTGCACTTATTGAGTAAGGGTGTCATTCTGACCAATGAGAAGTTGGTTTATCCATGGGGTAGAATGTTCGTCATAATAATAACTATCGATCAGTCAATAACTTGGTCGGCCTGTCTGGCCGGTCGTTTGGGCGTCTAAGGTTACCCCGTAGTACTTACGGCCCACCCAACTGAATTTCCACTTGCTCGTTTGTCTAACTGACCATTCGTCCGTTTATCCAATCCCCTCCCCTCTCCCCCAAACCCGCTTTTGTCTATCTGTCCATCCGTCTCCTTCTTTCAGTCTGCCTTTTGGTCAGTTAGAAAGTGGGACAGCCAGTTAACTCAGACATGTTGCCAATTTTATTTCAAGCAGTCGGTTGATTACAGGCGTTAACAAGTGTCTTTACCATAAGTGACTGTTTATTTGTGATTTGCAGAGGCACACTGGAGGCATACGTTCAGTCAGTCAGATCGCGTGGAGAAAAAGAATTTGCACCAGTGTATCCCATCATGCTGAGGATTCTTCAAGCTGCGAGAGCTACACAGGGCTCCTAATACTTTGCTGACTGGAAGAAAAACAAACAAACAGACAGACACGAAAACAACAACAACAACAACAACAACAACATAGGAGCCAAAAAATAACGTAGCATATTCCTGGAGTATATTTCCTTACAGCAAGTCTGTGATAGAAGGTAGAATTAAGTTATTTTTTATTGTTGGTCGACAGAAAGCAGGGATATGATACTGAGTCCATTGTGTATATAGCGCCTTATGTAGAAGGCACCGAACATCGAACACTTACTCCTTACATTCTTGACCCCTTACACCCTAAAATCAGTATGCATATTCTCCATACTGTTCTCTGTACATTTACTATGGTACTGACAAGGAGAATTTGTTTAACAATCAAGAGTTCCTTTAGTTGGTGATCATTTCCTTCATTCTCATGATATTAATGAATGATTCAGTGTAGATATTGTAAGGAGAAATTAGATGCCAGTCACTTTTGAGGGTTAAAGGGTTTATTAGTTGATACTGTCCTTTAATTGAAACACATTCCCTAAATGTTCGTAAGTTCTGTGTAACGCCACCGAATCATTAAAAGGGAAATGGAAAAGGGTTTGGTGGAGAAACGAAGGGTGGTACTCATGTATTTAGATTTAGTATGTAAAAAATGAACAGCTATTGTAAGCTACACACTGCTACTTCATGTTTAATTTATTGAGAATATAATATTTAGAAAATTATATAGTCGTAATGTACCGGGAAGAAGCGATTACGTCAAGAATAGCCTTTCCGCGAAGTAAGTGCCGTACCAAAGGGGACTTGGAAAGTAAGGCGCTGAAAGGGACTTCTGGAAGGGGACTTGGGAATAAAAGGACCTTGGAAAAGAGGGACCTAACAGATACATGGAAAATGGAGACTCAATTGGGGCTTTGAAAATATATAAGTAAAAGGAACTTAGAATGAAGGGCCAAGTAAGAGCATAGACAATAGGAACTTGGATGGGGCTTAGAAATCATAGGAACTCAAGAGGGGCTTGAATAAATGGGACCAGTAAGGACCGAACAACAAGGGACTTAACCTGGGCTTGGGAATTAAGAGGAACTGGGAATTAACGTGGATTGTTGAAAAGGGGATTTGGAAAAGCACCGCTAAAAGTGAAGACGTAGCGTGGAGTCTTGGAAATTTCTGTGAAGATTGAATAAGATTTGACTAAAACAAGATTGTAGTTCTTGGACTTAGAAGCCAATAGAATAAAGGTACTTGATAGAACTCAACTTTAAACTTTGCACGCGTGGAGAGTTAGCAGTTAATGAAATGTTACACAAAACTAACGGCATGCGAAAAGGGAATATTCCGACGGGTTTGCTTGCTCCCCTGGCGCTGGTTCTGCTGAGTACATATTTAACTGAAAAGGAATGTTTGGATCTTGGAGTGTGACCTTGGTATTTTAATTCTGAGGTTAGGATGCAAGCTGAGCCATATGTGAGAGTTTACCCCCTTATTGATACTCTCCTACATTGTAGACGGCAGATCAGATCTTCTTAAGAATTATTTTGCTAAAATAGCACATTCGCCCATATTCGTGAGTTTCCTCGCCTAGTATATTCACTATTATACACTACTGTACAAACAACGGTGAAGAGGACTTCCTTCCATGATAAAATCTTAAATGTTTGTCTGTTTTATCCGGTAATTAACGTAGTTATCTACCAGGGGGTCTTGTGAGGCATATGAAGATATTTACTCACGGCTGAGAGAGAAGTCGAAGATAAATGCCGTGAACTCTAAACAAAGAGAAAAAGGAATTTTGACTTAAATGTGCAAAACAATTTCCTCTTGAAAGAAAGTGGGCAAAGTTGATTTCTTTAGCGGTTTTGTGGTTACACCCCCCTAATGGGCACACCCGTTAGGTACGGCGTCCTGTTGTCTGGGACGCCTCTTAAACTTGATTCCTAAATGTTTATTTGGCCGGATGTGTATATTAGACATTTACGAAGGTAGAAATTCGTCGACGGCACAGTTCTGCAAGTATTTTCTCCTTCAAAGAGTTAGATTTTAGTTGCTAGAGTTTTCAGCTGCAGTGAATATTACTTTACTTTATCTTCACAAAAGGTTGCCGAACACCTGAGAGATCTGTATTGTTTGAAATTGTGGTTTTCTCATTTCCGCCTCTATAGATAGAGAATCCTTTGTACAAGATGGTTTGACGCATTGAAGCTACGTGCTCAATGATGAATGGTTTGTCATGTTCACAATTATACAAGGAACATGGTTTCATTGTTTGATTTTATTGCTTCTTTAAGGGAAGAATTTGAATCGGGTGAATCAAGGTCAAACATAATAATGCCTTTGATTGAAACTTCAAGTATGAATAGGGAGAAGAGGGTTTTTTAATCCTTGTTAGTTTATCTGATGGGTTCTCGAGTCACGAACAGCTACATTCACTTGTCGCAACTCTTTTATTAACCTTTGACAGGTTTCTGGTTTGTTTACTCGATTGGCTTATGGATGTGTAAAAAGTCACGAATTACGTATATATCTATAGATCTAAAACTTTGTGGTTCTGTGTATCAGCTTTTTAATTATCTTCTAAGCAATTATTTAGATGTAACGGAAACATCATTCATGTTTCACCTCGAAATCTATTTATGTGCTGATAACGAAGTTCCTCTCATCGTTAATACTTCGCTAAAACATAAATTGGTTTTCTCTCTCAATTGTTTGACAGTTGAAGAGCGTTTGTAGAGAAAATTTCATCAATGTACTAAATATAATCACATACTGGAAAGTATGATCTTTGTAGGAGACATTTGAAATCAAGGTTTTCCCGATTAAATCGCTTTACAAAGGCTACTTAAAGGATATTACAGATTACTTTTACAGAAAGGAAACGATTTGAACAAACCTTAATCGTACATATTCCTGCTTATAATTCATAGAATAATAAACATGCTTGTGACGCTTTGCGTAATGATTAATCTTTTTGACGCGTTATGTTTGCTAAAGCAGATGTTTTTCCGGAGCGTTGAGGAAGTCACGTCCAAACTTTAAACACAGTACATTGATGTAGTTGGGCCAACTTTGCGGTTTTGTCGTTAAGGGTGTTTTAGAGCGGGGAGCATGCAAGCCTAAATTGTTAGAAAGCATACGCCTTCCGTTAGTTGATATGTAAGAGATGATAAACAACCCAGGTGGTAGCTTTCAAGCGGTACTCAGAATTTTTTTCGTAAGGCTAGAAGAGAATCATGATAAGCGCTAAGTGAATTTACTCTGATTTTACGTATGGCTCCTAAATCCACGATTATACCGCTTCTCATTTCGAGCTCCTTGCTCGCCCAGCTCGATTCTTATGCCTACATTCACTGTATTCTGTTCGTACATAGACAGGATTGGTATGAATTAAAGTTTTGGCACCTTCTGGACCACCTCTGGCTCAGTTGGCTCCAACGCAACATTTTTTCTAACTTGGTCGGAACAAGGTTTAAAAGGGCCGCTCTAAACGAGCCAAACTTGTTGTGTGTGGCCCAGTAGGATGGTTAGAAATTCTCTACACAGCACATTGATGAAGCTGTGCCAACTTTGTGGTATTGTCCGATATTGTGTTGTAGAGAAGTAAGCTTACAAGGTCGTCTTGAGAGAATACACATATGCCTTCTGTTAATTAATACGAAAGAGTCGATACACGACTTAGGTGGGCTAATTTCAGTTTTAGCGGTTCTCAGAAAGTTTTCCTCCAAGTTACGAGACGATCATGAAATGCGCTTACTTACGCTTAAGTGAATTTACTCTGACATTACTTCTGATTCAAGAATCCGAGTTAATGCCTCATCAAGCTCTTTGTTTTTTCAGCGCCATTCTTTCTCTTGGATTCACATTATTCCGTTCGTTCTTACCCAGGATTGTTATGAATCAAAGTGTTTTTCGATTACCGGACCACCCGCTGTGGCACAATTGACACCCACGCAACATTTTTCCTCAAGGGCTGCTCTGAACGAGCTAAACTTGTTATTTGTGATTCAGTTGGATGGAAAGAAATTTTCTGCTTCTGTAAATGCGTCAATTGTTCCTTGAAAACATTTCTGTCATGTTTTATCATGGAAGGATCAAAGTTGAAATAACTGCATCATTGTTTCGCAGTAAGATTTTCGTTAATTTCAGCGAAAGTGAATGTTCCTTAATGTTAATCATAACCAAAAGCGAGACTGAGTACCGCATACGAAAAAAACCTGTTGAATCTTCTCATTCTTGAAATAACTGCATCATTGTTTCGCTGTAAGATTTTCGTTAATTTCAGCGAAAGTGAATGTTCCTTAATGTTAATCATAACCAAAAGCGAGACTGAGTACCACATACGAAAAAATCCTGTTGAATCTTCTCATTCTTGAAGTTTTGTATCTTGACAGTGTCCCCCACCCCCTCCCCCCACAATTTTCCACAGCAACTGAGAGACAAGGAGCTGTGAGGTTCACATACTGTGCTTACCAGTGGGTTTCAAAGGGGTTAACCGTTAGCCTTAAAACGGCCGACAAATTTATCTGTTAGGCGTAAAAATTGACAAATTTTTTCCATTGGTCGTTAAAAAAGTTAATCGTAAAATAATTTCTGGTAACAACGATAGAAAGATGTTAACTGTTGGCCGTAATTGGTCTAAATTTTAATTTTAAACGTCAACCGTAAAAGCCATTGAAACTCTCTTAACGCGTAAGCAGCTGGTTGAAGAAAAAACTCGTTTATCTTTGTAAGGTACCGCTTATTCCTATCGATCTTTTTCTCTTTTATTCCCATAAATAAAAATAATTTTCAACACATAAAATATGTCAAGAACATAACTGACGAAGGGACCAAATAACGACTTGACAAATTGATTCCGATTTCTGCCATTGATGCCAAAGACTTTGCGTCCCACTGGTTAGTCCTAGAATGACTGACTGCATATTACATTATTACCGTACAGTAACCTTTAAGCCTATGTTCAAATGAGTATCACTCGAATGAATTTTCAGGAGAAATAAACCAGGTATCTATTGTAGAAAAAGGTTTTTTTTTCATGTTCGTCCTTCTTTTCACGGACTGCAAAATATTACTTTTAAAAGTTCTTCACGCTTGTACGAGTTTCACTAAGTCCCGCTGAATTGTGAAGCAAAATTGCGGAACTCTAATATCCTTGATAATAATTCCGTTTCTAATCATCAATGATAGTTGACGTCAATTAACAACGTCACAGGTTCTCATAGCACGTGGATCTTTTGGAAGTGAGCCCTTTAATGTTCATTTCATGACTTTAAGTACGCGGTTTGCCACTAAACGAAAATTTCCCCAAGCAGCCGCGCTGTTTGCCCGCGTAGGCGACGTTTTAGTGTGCTCGGGAAAGAATTTGAGCGTCAAAAAAGTCGTGAAGGACGCGAGCCACTGCGAAAGTCGTGAAGGTTATAAAGAAAGAGCATTCCTATGTGTGTCTGATGGGACTAACATGGGCTTTTAATACCGCTATGGGCAAAGTCGACTTCACCTAATTGCCATTTGTATTGTACCCTGTAAACGCACTGTTCAACTGTAGAAGATTGACGCACAACTATGTGCCTCATTTACTTTGCAGTAACTCAAACAGAGCAATTAAACCGTCCTATCTTTGTTTGACGGTTATTGGTGCTTCAATTTTCCAAGCAGGTGCAAACTCACTACGTTGCTATGCGAAAGTTGACGAAGTAGTGAAAAGCATTGTTCACCTTGTTCACCTTGTTGACCGTATAATCGTGCGATGGGCAATGTGGGTTTTATTTGCTTGAAACTTGAGTTTCTTTTGACGTAAAAAAATATTACCTTTTGACTACTCTCGTGGAAGCTTTTTCGAAGAGGGTTTCCCTTTTACTTATAAAAAAACATACGTTCCAGTTTTGAACTGGAAATTACTGGCATGTAATTCAGCAGTGGCCATGCGTTCTTTGTATGTAAGCTTCTCATAATTCGCCTTTTGTCCAATCACACTTTAACTAGTTAACACATGTAAGTATTTCAAACAGCAGTGAAGAGTTCGAAGGTAGTCGGATAGAGTTCCACCAAACCCATTCCTTCCAAATTGTATAAAGTCTTAAGATAGAATTCGTTACTTTAGCGTACTTAACAGAAGTTAGACCTTCTGTTGTTTGACATCTTCTTTGTTCTTGAATATAAAATAAGCGTCGCTTTTTGTTGTAACATCTAAGGATTCATAAACAAAGAAAGTCTTTAAACCGATGACCTTTTGACGGCTCTTTCGAATACTGGTGATCATCATTAAGTCCTTTTTAAAAAAAGAAGTTGTCACTAAAATTGCGTCCAATATAGTTTCTTTTTTCACTAAGCTTTCGGGGGATTAAACGCAAACCAATCAGGAAGAAATAATTCCTCGTATTTCATGCTTTGGCTTGCAATACAGCTTTAAGGCTAATCGTTTTCGAACTTTTCACCTAGGTAACAGCCAATATTAGCAACGTGGTCTGTAAAGTCAACAAACAGGTTTCAAACCATACATCTTTTACAAAATGGTAAATATTTTCCGCATATTTTCCTGTGAACCCGATAATAACAATAAGCATTGATCTTCCGAGCCGACGCAGCTCTGTGGTACTGATTAATTTGACAGCGCGCCCTTACCCGGGCAGATGTGAAAAATGCGTTTGGCACGGGTGGGATATTAACTGGCTTGTCATGCAGTACCAGCTGCGGCAGGTTTTGCGGAGTAAGTTTTATTGAGGCGGTACTGACACTTGTCGACTGGTCTGCAAATCTAATAAAGATTTCTAAATAATTGAATTTAAAATGAAAACAAAACACACAAAAAACGTTAATGAACCTTTGTAGTGGGTCAAAACCTACAGCTTTGCCAAATTAACTAGCAATACATCTGCCGGGATTCCGAGTGTTAAACTGCGCTCAAGATTCAAGTTTCGCCTTTTTCGAAGTTCACGATCCATAGAAGTGTCTAAATTAAACAAGATAATTCGTCCATTCACAATGTGCCCTATTGAATAGCGTGACATAACATGGCACCTTTAATGCACCTTCTGTAGTGTAATTAGCCATTGATACTTGGTAAGTGACAATTCTTCACGGATAGCACTGGTTTTAAAGTTTCGTTTTAACTCTCCGTTCCCGTAACACAGACTAAGTGAGCTGATATTTCGAGACATTTGTACTAACTACCTGTGAACATGGCACAAGAACTGAGACACGTGTTGATATAGACTGCCTTTTTTGCAATCGCTTTAATGAGTTTGAATAAGCTTTAGCAGGTCTCCTTTTAAGTCAAGAATGAATTTTTCAGGTGGCTCTGTTTAATTTCTGGTTGTTGACGTTGCTTTTAGCTGGTGTCCTGAATTTTAAGGAAATTATTTCACAATTTGCAAACCCCCGAAAATCCTGGTAATGCTGTACACAATGGCTCCAGCTTTGGACTTATAGATGACAGTCACTGTCGGACCTTTGACACTTTTTGAAAAGTTATATCCTACAAGGCAATTGAAACTTTTTGGTTTGTGAACGAAATACCATCATGTGAATCTTTATATTAACTTAAAGCTCAGCTGATGAGTCTTTTGTACTTTATTGTTAAAAGCGTATATTGTGAATTCAAATTAAAGCTTTTTAACAGTCCTTTCATTCCGTGGTACTGTTTATTACTCTTCACAAGGTGATTCTGACCGTAAAATTTGTGGGTAAAAGCCGAGCACTGGCGTGGGTTACCATTCAAATGAAAGCTGCGGGGCGGTTTCTTTATGTGGAACTGTTTATTGTGCTGTATACAAAGTGTTTACATCTCAAAAGCCTGTCGATAAATTACTACTGTGTGATTATTCAAATGCAAGCTGCGAAAAGTTTTTTTTTTCAGGTGGAACTGTTCATCATGCTGTGAACAAAGTGGTTCGAACTCAAAAGTCTAAGCGTGTCTCTTGTCAAATGAAAGCTGAACATGTTGAGCAGCGCTTTCTTGTGGTTTTGCAGAGTGACTCCGAAATTAGCATTTAAGTCTGTCGATGAAACCCCAGTGTGTGTAAACGTCTATACGAAAGCTGATGAACAGTACTTTCATATGGTGCGGTTCATTGCTCACTATTGTGCCAAAGTGTATGTAATTATCTTTTGTAGTAAGCTTAAGCTCTCTTAGGGGTAAGGATCAATAGAGTCTGTTTTGGCAGGTATCACGCGCACGAAAAACTGAATTGGGCACCTGTAAAGCTTCGCTAAGAGCTTACGGCAACTTCTACAGAACCAATTCTCATTGTGTAAAGAAGTTCCGGTTAAAAATCACCGATCATCCATACAGATAATCAATAAAGCCGAAAAAAATAATGTGGAACTATTTCTGTAACCATGTGAAGTTGATTTCAAACGGTTTCACCCACATTTCCGATTTTACCTCGATCCTTAGAACCAGAAAGCGGCCCGCAGGGTGAAAATGCTGTTGTGGCAGTTTTACCTCTACTTTTAAGCTATCTGAATTTGGATGTTATGTTTATATACTGGTATGTTAAAAAAAATAATCTTCCTAATTTTTATAGTCATTTCAATTGACCGGGAGTCCATTAGTTTTGTGCACACTGACGCTGTACAAAAGCAAGAGTTACATGTGCGTAGCATTCAAGAAAGGAGATACAAATCTTCTTCGTCTTCAATCTGCTATCTGTTGCTAACCAGTCATTGCGGCGTCCTTCGATCTGGAGCTCTTTTCCGGCAAATCTAAACTGTGTTGGAACTCTGTAGATGGTCTTACAAGGACTGAGAGCAACCGAATTGATATTTGGCGAGTTTTGAGATTTTCAACGAAGGAAAAAGTACGGAAGAAGTGTAAAGAGATTAAAATAATGTATTCTAACTTTTTCCCCGTGGTATACCGGCGGTTTTATTTTTAAGAGAAATATTACGGCTAAACATGAAACACGAGATGCTGGTTTTTCAGCCGGAGAGCACCTTTTGACGCTTTCTGGGATTGTCATTTAGCTCCGTAGGAGTTGCACTCAATCGAGATTAATTTCCTGTTTTTTCGTTTTACATTCCCGCTGTATCATGTCAAAGTTATTAAAGAAACGGTATCTTTTTGCCCGAAATCATTGTTTTCACAAATATCACTACGATTGCCATATTATATTCTATTTTTTTTTCGTTATATTGTGTCCGCCTGAACTGTGGAAACTGATAACGGAAGTATTATAAGAACGCCATTAACATGACACTTAATATAACTGTCAAGTTTCGCATAACTGTTTAAAATGAAAACGAGATTTAAAATGGCGGAAAGAAAATTCAATGCTTAATTTAATCTTGGACAGAAATGTAAGTTTCGAAATTTGGTATAAAACGCTGATTTTGACTGGAAGAGAGAAAAGCGTCCCTCGTAACAACTTGTGGAAGTTCAAATCCGCTTAGTTGGAAAGATACTTTGACCCCCCTAGCTTGTCTGCCTTCATATAATTAAGGATTGAAAAGAAGTGTATTTAATATCCTCTTAATCGTTTTAAAGCTGTTTCTCGTGTTCTTCGGAGATTCTTCGCGAAACACATGTTTGTTATATCTCATTTACCTGCGAATTGTTCAAGATTTTAGCGTTGCGAGCCAGTAGTATTCGTAGCAAAAGTATTCGTATTTCAGCATTCAGAAATCCTGTTGGTCGACGGAACAACTGAATGTGAATACAGAATAAAGACTGTGAAAACAGGAGAATATATGGTTATTTTTCAGAAAAAAAACTGAAGCAAACTTCAAAAGAATTTGAACTTGTACGATTGGATCACACAATAGGATATGAGATGGTTCTTAAACGTGCAACGCCGCAAAACTTTATCTTCCTAACAAATCGTTTCTGATAAGCTAAAAGTCCTAATCACTCAGTCGATACGAAATTTCATCCAGTTGAAGTAGGTGCCTATTGAGAGCGGAACAAACTTTATCGGATGCAATAACATGACTGACTCAAAGACAATCGAAATTTTGTGACCATATATAGCACAAAAGCTTCTTATCCTTTTCCTCTTTTAGGAATCGCGTGCACTGAACGGAAATACCAAAACAATTGTAAAGGTACAAGAGTATTCAAGTTAATCAAGGTTAAGGTATTCATGACAACCTCGTGTTTCCGTTTCAAGGTTTGAAGGCACATGGTGAAGAAATATACGGAACAAAAAACTCCCAAACAATTCCACTTTCGATCAAGTGTCGAAAACACCATACAGAGTTTGAGCTTATCACTAAAAAGGTTGTCGACAAGTCTGAGACGCACTCGAGAGCTCGTCAAGACTTTCTAACTTTTCTAAAGGATTACGTCTTTTGTTTGCAAAACAAAAAGAAATTGCGAGCAAAACAAGTCATTAGTATTTGATTTAATAGTTATCTTTATTGTGAACACATTTTTCTGTATAAACTCTCAGTATTAAAAATATGTTTTTCCTCAAACTTTATAATATACATATGTTTCTTTTTACAATTTCACTCGTATACACAAACCTTTTGTACAAGGTTATTATTTACATATTTGATTCGATTCAGTACAAAAATATAAAATATAACTTTCATGGCAACTCAAAAGGTGAAGTGATTCTCAGATTAATCCTGAATAAGTCAGCAAAGTTTATATTCATTTATCTACCATGGCCTCCAAAGAGTAGCGCTTTGAGCCGGAGTCATATGCCTAGGTTGTTGCTGTGAAGAGATGTTAAATCCCGGATCTCGTGTTCTGCACGTCGAAGCAGGCGATAAATCACGAGTCACGCCGCTCGAAGAAACCGATAAAACAGGTGAAACTTGAAGTGGAGATGGTGGAGGAGACGGAAAAGGGATCATGACAGGTTTTAAGGGTGCCATGTACCGAAGATTATCCGGGCTGAAGACAGGGACAGCGTTTGGGACGTTTCCTTGGCAACGCGATGCGACATGCGCGAGGAAATTTTCTCTAAGTTCATCATTGGCTTCGAGTGACGTCATTTTCCTGGAGAGCTCCGCAGAACATTGCAAGTAATTTGCTCTGAATTCTGGCAAATTAGCGGTATCCAGTGCTGAAAGATGAAAGTGATTTTTCATGAGTCACACTCGACTATAAGCATAGTGATCGACCAGTCAGTGACTCTCCCTCAGGAGAAGATGTGTAACTGTCGAGGTCACAGGAAAAAAACGAACAAACAGACAAAAAAAAAAAACGAATCGTTCATCTTAAGGAGTGATGAAACTTCGACACAACCTAGTTTAAAATTTGGGATGGGAAATTGATCTAGAAAAACAAATCCCTAAAGTCGAATTTCAGTTCTAAAAAATGAATCGTTGGATATTTGACATATAAATATTGATGATAAATCTTCTCTTTAATGACTGGTGACAAAGATAGACTTAAACAGTATTTATTACAAACGATCTTAATAAAAATACCTTGGTGTTTTTGCTCCAATCTTTTACGTTCCCGTAGATAATGAACTGTCATTTCTAAAACATCAGCTTTCTCCATTTTCGAATACCGAGATGCCTTAAAAATTAATGTGAAATTAATTGTAAGTAAATATTCTCCAATGAATCCTAAACAACGTCAGCTGGACGAATTCAAATCTTACAAATTAGTATTTTACAGATTAGTGACTCACATCTTTATTCAATGCTTCGAGAATAAGAGTTTTCAACTCATTCAGGCTGTCATTAATCCTTGCTCGTCTCATTTTCTCCATGAGAGGTTTTTTCGCCTGGGGAATATAATAACATTTGATTAAACATCATTCACAAGTGATATGATAGGTATAAAATGTTTATAAATATTACGCTGTTCAGTAATTGACGCAGAACAGAATTTAGCCCACCTTTCGTTTTTCACTCAAAATTTTGCTGACGTAGTCCGAAGGTTGATTGCAGAAATTTGCCGTCGCCATCTTGGATCGAGTTGAAAAATTGTGACCTTAGCTGTGTACTGATCGAGCGCAATTTGCGTGTGGCGGTCGTGTGCCAAACATTCACTTTTTATGGCAGCCTCCGTGGGAAAATTCTTTCGGCCTTGTGTCATCAATCGCAAATATTTACCCTCGCATTTACAAGGACAATAACCATAACAGCTGAGAACAATACAACTGACCTTTACAATAGGTAGGTCGTGGGAACAGTCTCGTCTGATTGGTCAGTTTCTTGAGTCGCACGACAAACTGCAGGAACAAAGCTTAAACGTCGCCATCCGCTCGTGACGAGCGTGAGACCGGTCCACACTGATTGGCTGAGAGCACAAGCAGCGCCTGTGTTGAATTACTTACAAAAAAGACAGTATACACAAGCTGAAAACAAAAGATCTACATTTGGAGTGCCTCGCTGAAAGACCGCGGAGAGGCCAAACAGAAGAGAATCATTTTTCAACGGAAGATTGTCTAGTCTCCTTGACATATTTCTCTGCCACGAGGTTATCGCACTGACGTGTTGAAAACGTGATAAGTTTTTAATGGTTTTCCTGCGGGGCGTTTAGACACTCATTTACACAACTATATTTAAATGAGGAGTCGCTAGTAGAGCGTAAAATGACATGCACGTGCTACTTCTTTTCACGGCGTCCAAATCCATTGTCACTTCTTTCATTTGTACTTGGATTGTCTCGGCGCAAGAATTACTCTGCGGTTTACATGGTGGATTTTCATGACAATAGAACTCGGATCTTTCCCACGGTCTTAGAATAAAGAACATTTTTTCACTATCTATGCGTTATTATTCATGCTGTTGGAGTTTTGTCATGTTAAAACACAACCACGAGAACAGTAAAAGGAACTAAGTAAACTCTAAGTGCGCTTTGAAGGGCTCTTATGTCAAGATTATTAAGAAAATGTTTTCAAGGTATGGTCAAAGGGCATTGGGTATGGCTTCGATTTCGGTTGTTTTTTGTCTGGTTCAGGAGAAAAATATTTTTTGATTCGCAACTGACAACAAAATATCTCCTGACACGTGCCACCCCACGCAGACAGGAAAGCAAAAGCGGAACTTGTCATTACAAATCAAATTTCGGAATTAAAATTCCAAAGACTTGAGCGGCTAAATATTAAATCTTGTCCGTCTCGGCTTAGCATGCTTTGCTCTATCATTAGAAAATGTTTAAGCGTATTAATTACATCGGCAAATGATTTTCAAAAGAAGCAAATATATGTGACGAGTAAAGCTGACGTGTGTAAATTCACGTTTGCCACCCGCGAGAAGTCTACAAATACCGTATCCGACTTTTATCAGAAGGGTAATATCACCTTTTCTCAGACAAGCCGTGTGGTTTACAGTTCATAAAGTTCAGTCTCATTTATCAATACAATCGCAAAGTGACAGATATGTTATTGTTTTCAACCACTTTGTTTTAGTTCCGGTAAATTATTGCTAAATGTTTCATCAATGAGGAATGGAATTTCTTTGAACCCAAACAGTCACATTCTCCGCCGCTAAATAAGCGATTCAGAGACGTTGACATCAAAAGGAAGTCTTATGGATTCCTCTGAAAATTCTCCTAAATAGTTAACAAATTCGTGGGAGCGCGGGAGTTGAGAGATCGGTCATACATACTGAATTCAGTCGTGTGGCCTCTTTACCATAAAGCATTTTTTGTGCTTGAAAATTTTGTGAGACAACATAGCCGTTTGTCCATTAAATTGTTTTAAAAGGAATACTATGATTTTTGCGATCGTTCTGCAGTTCTGAATGTGGCGGCTTGTGCTGCTAAAAAGTCTTGAAAACGGGTTAAGTAGATTTGAAGATTTGTAAGGGCATTGATGTTTGTTAGTTTGTGCCAAAATTTGGAGGTACCTTTATTGACGATCAATAACAGTAGAATTAAATGATGTAAGTTTATTGAGCTCTGATTCGACGCTACCGCACAGTTCCAACTAAGTTAGGTCTTCAATAGGTATTTGTCCCAGTTTCAGACGAAAGTTTTTTTTTCCTGCAAAATAGGCATAAATAGCAAAGACACTTGAAATTAGTTCTTGACAACATTATTCAAGCGTTTCATACGCGTTGAAAAGTGCGCTCTAGTAAGCGTGCGCTGAGCGCGGCTCGCGTGCCGTTTTTACGACAAAAAACCGCAAGTCTTCTGTCGTGCTCTAGAATCCATCAAATGCCGTTTTCTTGAAGGAATTACCAACCTTGGTCGTGCTTTCGACTCACACAAGAATGCAAACGAATTTGAGATTACGAAATATTTTCTTTTCAAGTTTACTTTCTAGAGCGGGAAGTCTGTGACGTTTGATATAATATCAGTGTTATTATAACCAAACATCTCCTTTCAAAAGGTGAGCCAGGCATTAGAAACTCACCGACATCAACAAACAACTTATTAACAAGCAAGAAATGAATGTTTTCTCGTTCACTTTCGTGCCAGGCTACTAATCCTTTTCGACACAATAAATTCTGTATTTGAGAAAGCCGCTCAATAAACAAGGATTTGTTGAAGCGCAGACGAGATTACGGTTCAGATGTTTGACCTGTCTCTTAATTGGTGCGTACCACTTCCCAAAAATCTGATACCCGTGTGACAGTCCAAAAGAAAGATCAGTTATTGTTTTATTAATGCTAAGGGCGCTGATGCGGAATGAATATCTACAGGAGTTCTTAGCGGGGTTGAAATAAACAGTGTAATTGTTACAAGCAAACAGCTACTTGGGAAAAACATTCAGCTTAGCTTGTAGCTTCACAGGAACTCAGTCTTACGTGAAAAATTAAAAAGAAAAGCACAGGCATGTGCAGTTCTTTGTTCCGTTTTGTTCAAATTCCTTTGAATTCGGCTTTCTGAAAGAGGCGGCAATGAGATATTGGAAAGTGCATCTGCAGGCCACAGAGTTGTGTTTTTATACCTTGCCTACTGAAATATCGTCAAAACGATTCTTTCACCTTTTTTATGCATTAAAACAACTCTTATAGATTCGTCCTCTTGAATCTAGAAAGATTTGAATGAAACTAGTTTTCTAAGCTCAGCTTATAGTTTTTTTAAGAAACAAATTCAAAGGAGCCACTTAACACACCATTTGTATACAACAGTAGCTGATATTTTCTACTCAAATAATAGCAACAACATTTTAAAAGCAATAATTTCCTATAACATTAATGCTCAGTTGTAAAGTATATTTCCCTAAGAACCCTTCACTGACTGTTGTACCAACAGCAAAAGTCCGAGAGTCAACTTGAAGCCCAAATGGCTGCGTTGTGCAGTCGCTGGAGTCAATAATTTGGAATTAAATCGGTGTGGTCGTCCAGAACTCCAACAACAAAGTCCGAGAGTCAACTTGAAGCCCAAATGGCTGTGTTGTGCAGTCGCTGAGGTCAATAATTTTGGAATTGAATTATTTAATTAAATCCAGAACTCTTACAGTCTTCTTTTTATCTTTTCTTTTATCGAGTTATATCTTTACTGTTTTACGGCAACGGTGAAATTGCTAACCTCATGACTGCCCTAAACATTCAGCAGTGTTTGGAGTGCGGTCTGCAAGTTTGACTTTTTTTCCTTACCTCTTCTCCTAAACCTTCAATATGCTTTAACTAAATTGAGTACAGAAAAGATTTGTTTGATACAAAACATGCCTGGAGTCAGTTAAGAGGTTGTATGTGATAGTTTCGGAGTAAGCACCGGCAAAAAGGCAAAACTGCAGATTTTTGTGTTGACATGGATTGAAAGCCTCTTCCGTTCGACAGGATTACTGCAGATACTTGTAAAGTGATAGACAAATTTTGCTTTTAATTGAAATTACCCATCTTGGCAGTAGCTGATGCTGAATTGACCTGCTAATCTCCACTGCCGACTTTTTATGATTAAACTGCCGCCTGCACAACAGACCTAATGTCGCAGACATGTCGGATTAGCAAAAAAACGCTGTGAAAAATTGGTTACCATTAAATATTCTAAACCGCTTCTTTACGCCAAAAGAAATTTGCCAATTAAGACTAATTGACTGCATTACCCCACATTCTTTGACCAACACAAAACAAAGCACAATCAAAAATGAGCAGGACAGCTTGTTAATCAAGTTATGCTGGACTTTTTCAAGAAAATCGTATGGTCTAATTAATCCAAGAACGATTTTTCGACTCAAAGACTGGGTAATCTAAGCAAGGAGTCTTCTAAACTGTAACATTTTTCTGTGAATTCTCTCCAAATCATTTTAAAACAAGCTTGTGAAATTAAGTCCAATAATGACACATTTTTCATGAGATATTAAATGAGGATAATATTAGTTATTTCTATCTTCATTCCGATGCATCTTGCGACGGTAAAATGTGGAAAACGATACATCATCACCAAACGCATTGCTGACGTCTTCACGTATTCAAGTTATATTTTATTCGTAATTATACATAGCTTTTCGTTGCAAAAATTATATATATACCTCTAGCACAATTCTTAATAAATATTCAGTAGTTTTAATAGCTCGACTAATCCAAGCGACCCTCATTTTAAAGACACTCCAGAAATTCATTTCCGCTCGGAAAGCAATTTGAGCCGGATAGGTACATGATACCGAAAAAATTGATTGTAACGCTGAGCTAGCGTCACCAAGGTCTCCACAAAGATGTGTCGAATGCAGTAGAGGCATTTGCGGGTAAGGTTAAAGGTAGAAGTTGCAATGCAGTGTCATTTGGTAAGATCAAGGCTGGAATACCATTACTAAGCATAAAGGGTGACATAGAGGGCGACATCGTTGGCGGAAAAGGCAGTAATTTCCTTTCTGAATGGTTGTGAAGAGGTGACGAAGGTGGTGAAGGGAATTTTGTTGCCATACTTCCGTCGGCGAAAGCCGTGTTCGCGCCAACTTTTGGTTTAGTGGCGGGAAAAGATGACGACAGCGTTGCGTGGGCTTGTTGTCGCGAGACTGACATATCGGTGGGGGAATGATGAGGGTCTTTTTGCTGCTGACAGGTTGACGCTAAGTGTGATAGAAGCTGTGTGCGAACCGGGACAGTAATATTGTCTGCTGTCATCAGGAATTGAGAAACTTTGGCAGCGCACTCGTTGAATCCTGCTCGATACTTAGCGATTGCAGAAACGTCTTCTGCGAAGGAAAAAAAAAAAGATGCCCATGATAAGTATCATATTTCAAATCCCTAGCACTTAACATTCTTAATTGGCACCTCCGATTTTGATGGATGTGGGCGGAATGTTTGATGCCTTCGGAATTCTGAGGTTTAACCATCTCGTTAAAATTTCACAGTGCCAACATCAAAAAGGCTCGAAAAGCTTTTACTCACCAGCACCGGTAAAATAAAAGTGAAAAAAGGTTATGAAATAAAAAATCATAAAGTGGTAGGCAAGCAACGTGTTGAATTCTCGACAAAAGAATCGGTGAGGTGTGATTTAAGATAAGATCGAGGAACAAAGATCAACACAATTAAAGAACGTTACTCTCTCAGGCTGTTAGCGTTGAAAGATGATTAGTAGTTCATTTGTTCGAGCTTGTTGCTAAAGAGAAAATAAATTTTGTGTTTGTTTAAAATAACGTTTTCGAAGATCTCAAAGAAATTAAAAAATTTTTAGTACGATGTGACGGAGAAAAGTAAATCAACGTAGGCCAGGATGCAAAAAATTCAAAAAGTAGCTGGCTGAACATATTTAATCTTAAAATTGCTGGTTGAATGTGGTGAACAAAACGATGCGTTTTACTGCCTTACCTTGGTGTTGCTTAATATGCAAAGTCCTCTCAGTGTTCAATGAGCGAAGGTATTTCACAGTCATTTCCAGAATATCGGCCTTTTCCATTTTGGAATACCTTGACACCTGTTGGAAAAGACAGAAGATAAGAATACTGAAACCAAATAATGATTTATTTTTCAATGTGAATTTTCTAATACTTACGTCTTTTTTCATCGCCTCCAATACAAGAGTTTTCAATTCGTTCAGACTGTCATTAATTCTTGCTCGACGCATCTTTTCCATAAGTGGTTTTTTAGACTGCAAGGCAAAACAAACTTTTCTTTTAATTAATTATTTCAATTTTTCGAGAAAAGAATAATTACTCTCTCTGAGCAAAATACACATTTGCGGTGGGAATTGCCGATTAAAATCCACATTTGCAACCATACTTTGAAATTTAAGGAGCCCTATAACATGTAACTAAATGTACAATAGCGAGTTGTGAATTAAAAAGCTATGACTACTTCTTCAAGATACCTTCTTTGTTTCCTTTTTAGCACTGCGTTGAGCATTCATAACGGGTTTTAAAATTTCTACATCCATTTGTGCTGTCAAGTTTACGCGTGCGATCCGCTCACTTGTGGCAGTATAAAATACTTCGGCACGCTTCTAACCGACCCTAGGGCGTAATACAAGCAACCGGCATGCGTGTTTTAATATTCTTTTTATAGTTCGCACCGTGGGAAAAAATCCTTAGTCGTGTGTCAACTCTCGCACTTATTTACAAACAGCTATTCATATTCAATAGCTGGAACAGTAAACAAAGGCTTCTCTGATGCCAGACCGTGGGAATGCTCTGCGCTGATTGGAAGACAACGCGAAAGGTCACGGGGTTAAGTTGTATGACAGGCTCTTGAGCTTCAGTGGTGCGTTGAGGGCGTGAGAACATTGCATGCGATTGGTCTGAATATCTCAATAGCTTCTTGCAATTAACAAGTCGCGCGACTTACTTTGTGGAACTTCAACTTAGCGCGCGCCGATAGAAGTAATCTTTTAGAGTTCTCGTGCCCAGTGATGTTCCCCTCAAGTGGGTTTATTCTTTTCAAACTGTCTGTTTATGTCGTGATTTCAAAGGTGTTGCCCCCTTAACACAGTAGCAGGCTTTTGCTCGTGAATATGTGTAAACATCGTCGTTAATTCGACCCCTTCCCACGTGCTTGGCGGAGTTGAGTTGCCCATTATGTAAGATGTTTTCATAAGATTTGAGTTTCTATTGTGAGATTGTTTAGATGAGGGATCATACCACAAGGGAACAGAAGAACACAATAAAGCAAAGGAATGTTCCCACGGTCGCTTCAAACCCATTTAATTCGAAGTCTCTTTGTAGGCTTAACCTTTCAATCAGGTTGTTAAACCTATTTTGAAATTCGTTTCTAACTATCATTAAAATTTTTTCTGGTAACATCAGATCATCTGAGGAGAATACTCAGCGTTTTTTCAACATTTCTATAACGAATTTGTCCGGGCAGATTTTTTTTGTTCAGTTATGCGATGAATTGTTTTGTTGATAATCAGTTCGTGTGGAACAAATTACAGCGGGTCGTTGAACTCTGATCAGCAACGCTCTGTGTAAAGCCTTTTTAGACATTTGCAGTGCATTGGAGAAGAAAATTAGAAACGTCTTAAAAATAAGGCTGCTGATAACATATGCGGGTGGTCTTGCAAAATTTAAGCCAGCTTGCGAAGGGAAGTTTCACTACAGAGCTCCCTCCATATACTGATCCAATTAAGTATGTCTCACCCCCCTAAAATATAGAAATTTTACTTTCCTTGCTGGGGGGTGCAGAACCGTGTGCACGGAGTACAAATAGACGTTTGATTTCATGAAACCTTTCCACTTTATCCACAATTTTAATCTGTACATCAGAAAAATTGGCAATCGATGACGAACGCGACTCAATGACTCGCTGCAGCAAACATTCACAGGCAGGCAATCTTGGCCCGCGCGTTGTTGTTAACAATATCGATAATGTCAAAACTTTGGCTTGTGATAGTGTTGATAATCAGCTTATCTTAAGATGGAGAGTGAAGATAACAAATTCCAGTCATAGATATTGGCGCGTGCCGCCGGCGTGCTGCTGCTAACACAGCACGCCGTCTAACGGTGGGGTCAGGAAGCGTTGCGACCGTCTCTTTCACCGCTCACCCTTCTCCACTCTAAACAGTTTACTACACACGATAAACTTTTCAGCTGTATAAAGGGTGTTATCATGACTTAACAACAAACTCTCTCTATTTTATAAGGAAACGTAGAGCTATTAGCTGGGAGAATTGCTTGTGAGGTCCTAATACTCTCGCTGACGAGGTTCTGTAGTTCTATCGTTAGATTTAATCTCCTCACGTAATGCCATATAAAATGTAAAGCATAGATCTGAGAATTTAGTAGCTGGTCAAGATTGATAGAGGTTAACATCAAGAACACGGAAATGATACGTCACTGGAACTGATCTGTTGTTTCCAGAGCGCGTTAACGATACTGAATGTACAATATTACTTCAGAATTTCAAAGATGAATATTAATGTTCTACAAAGCAGCGAGGGTCTTTTTCCTTACTGACGTTGAACTTTCATCCTTGTTACGTGATACAGAAGGGTAGAAATCACTTCGTAAATACCCTCCCCTCCCCCTCGGAAAGGGTGTGGTTGTGACCTCAACTCTTTCAGAAACAGTTTTGTAACCACTTACAGCTCCAAGACCGACAAAAGTTAATCAAAAAACAGTATAAAGCGGTTGCTTTTTATTACCCAAGTTTAAATCCCTGGAATGTGACAAATTTATTAACTGTTGATCGCAAAATGGCCAACCTTATATTGATCACAGTGTTTTTAAGTCGTTAATCTCGCTAGCCGTCAAAAGTATTTCGGCAAAGAGGGAAGACACACCTAAGCTTAATATCATAGCAGCAACATATGTAAGTGAATTAAGACTTTTCACAGTATCACATTATAACAAGGCGTCTCATCTATGTCACAGACCTAATTAAAAAAGGATGTCATGATAACACAACTTTCAAGCTAAAGACAAGTTCTTTGATATGCCCGGATATTGCTTTTGTGCTTGCCAAGAGTAGATTGAGCTTTTTCAGTTGCATTACCGCTCGGTATTGTAATTCAATATTTGATGGCTGTTAAGTGTTCGGAAGTGAGCAGTATTGGAGTGGAAAAATGAACGTAAAGTTAGTTTGAAAAACGTTCCAGAACTTTCCTTCGTCCCTACTAGAAATTTGCGCGTCGTTGTTTCATTGCTGTACTGAATACGTTGCGTCGTTACTCGTTCTTAAAATGAAACGAAAAGAGCGATGGATTTTCATTACATGAAACTGACTCAAAATAAACAGTAGCTGTTTTTTAGCTACTCAATCCCATTTTCATACAAAAACTCAGCCCGAGTTATTCTGCTACAATTTATTCCCTCGACCTTCGCTAGAACCTTCCCTTTCATGTAACGAAAATCAATAATGATTAATGTATTAAATTCTCAGTTTCTCGGTTTCCCTCGACGCTTTGTTTATTTTATTTATTCACAGATTTCAAACAGGGCGGAAATAACCTATCTTAGCCACATTGAATGGTATTCTCCAACAGACTCTCTATGGCTATAGGGCTATACAATGGGTTAACACAATCTTCTGGTTTTAAATATAGACAGTCAAATTAAAATTTACATCTCACAACCACTGTAATAAACACTTAAAATATCGAATACTGTTTTAAGAAGTAAGCTATAATTGGCCAAATGCATTCTACAGAATTTATAATCCGTAAACTTGTAAACATGATTGAACGTGAATACAGTAGAACAATGAAATTAACACCCGCTGATAAGTCAGTTAAAAAAATACAAAGCACCTTTTAAATTTTCCGAGCAAGTAAACACCCAGATTTACTACTTCCTGTCGTGTAGAATCCAGCCAAAGTATCACTCAATTTCGACAGACTATCAAGAAACAAACAAGGTGTTTCAGGGGTGAAGTTTTCTAAGGGGGTATCGATCGAACAAAGTTCAAAGTCTGGAAGTGAGATTTCACTCGCAAAAAGGCCGCAGTAAACAGAGGATAATGAGTTTATTGGATCATGTGGGTTAGTATACGTTTTATGCACTGATATATCAGCGGAAGTGAGAATCATTTAATACAAGGCTCTTCAGTGGTCTATACTGGCAATCTACCAACTTCTAATAGTCTCTTCTGGATTTTGTCGGTACGCACTTCCCTCGCGGAGCCAGGAACTCATCTTCTTTAAGTATTCCTAAGTGCTTCTAAAGACCGACAAAGACCCAAACTTTCCAACTCGATGTTTCTGCATTATCAACCGATATGGTTATCACTTAGCTTGCAAAAACCGTTTTTCATTTGGATAGAGAGGGAGCCGTTTTTTCCCCGTTTTCAGTTATAGAGTATCGTCTGTTTATGGTTAACTGGTTGGCAGTTTGCTTAAGCTGGCAGGACGCCGGTTTGAAAACCTTGGCCTAAGAAAGACAAAAAAAACCAATCCAGAGTTGATTTCTTCTCAAAACTTAACCAAAGATCCAAAATTTTTCTATGATTTCGTTCATATTGGTATGACCGTTGATGGATTACATTTCATCAATTTCACTCAGTTTTACGGAGTATTGGGTTCAAACACTCTCCAAGTCGAATTTAAGCGATGAAAGACAATACAAGTAGCAGAAAATCGCAATAATAATTTTTTTGAATGGAATTTTTTATTCTTGACACGCACTCAAGGCTCCAAAATTTGAATTGCCACAAGGCGCCATTTTGAATACTTTTAGGTTTAAAGGAGCTGAAGCTAAAACAGTGTTATGGTTGCTCTAAGCCTGGGTAATAATCCCGTATCTAAAGGCTGATCGTTTGATAAGTCAGTGTGTACACATTCCTAGCTAGAATTAAAGTTTAGGGGACGAGTAAAAATAAAAGAGGTTTATTTTAGGCAGGAATGTTGTTCATTGCGTGTTATTTTGTAGAGACCACCAGACATGACCGGCCAACAGTACAGGAGATTTGCCAGATTCCGCCGGATTAGCTTCAAATTTCCGCTGAAAAACGGCAGGAAATCGGCGATAACAAGATTACTCTTGGTGTAAATAATGGTGGTGGGTTTTTTAGCCTCGTGATTTTTGATAGAAGAATTTTTCCTAGTCTTTAAATGATGCAGCACACTTGGAAAAACAAGAGTGCACAAGATTAAACTCTTCTTGGAAACACTCCGAAGTTCTTTCTTTTGATTACACCTGTGTCATTGATGAAAAACTTGAATTCCAACGGTCATGATTATCCTTGCGTACTGTATATACGCTTAGGCAACAGAAAAGCGTCTGCCGGTGTCTCCAAAGGTTTTATTAAAAAAAAAAAAAAAAAAGCTTTTGTGATCACGGTACGGAAAACAACATTTGCCATGTCATTGAATTTCTTGTGGGATTTAAAGCTAAAATAAAATTATCGCTGACTTCGTATCGTACTTTACCCTTTTTCCAACATGGACAACTAATCCGATTGATGTGTTTGCTTGCGCATGCGCACACTGGCAAGAAAGACAATCGGCAAGAAAACAAATGAAATTAGACAAATCTTGATGTGAGCTGCTATTATAAAAATATAAAGTAACTCAGGACTTTGGGACTGTGAATTCTGCTAGATAAGCAAATTAAAAGATTAAATTCCTTTTTTCAAGACGTAGTCAACAGGTTATCCATCTTGAGTGAGTTTAATTCTTTAAGGAATCCTTCTGGTCCCAGTTGTTTAAAGGGTAGATAATGCTATCCACTGCATGGATAAATCTCTATCCGTTGGATAGTGCAGTTCGCTTTTTGAACACTTATCCGCTGGATAACGATTTACCCATTGGATAGCGTTATGCGTCATCCGCTGTTTGGTTTACTCTCTTGAAAAGCTTTCGTAGACGAATCGCAAGGCGTCTCAGACTACTACTTCTGTGAACTGGATGAAAAATTTGCTCACGATATTCATGAACTAACGAGCTGCATTTGTGCGAGGTGCTCTTCTTCGCGAAAGGACCTGATATTAAGTAAGGTGCTTAGCTAGTTTGAGATGGAAATTAGTCTGTGGCCATTAATCATTTAAAATTTGGCGGGAAATTAAATATTCCACGTGCGAGCCGGCACGAGTTATTGACACCTGATCGTTTAGCGAAATAAATGGCCATGTTTGTTCTGAATAGTAAAGAAACCTGCTAATTGCTTCGTTCAAATGATGTCTATGAGTATTGCAGTTAATTAGTTGAGGCAAAACTGCCACGCTTTAACTGAATTGGTTTTTTGATGCAAATGCCGCACGTGCCTTAAAGAGGACAAATTGAAATTCTGAATTAAAAGAGAATTTTCGAAATTTTCTGTTTGAATGCAATCTTTTCTATTTTCAGCAAGTAAAAGAATCTCCAATCTTCATTTCGAATTCCGCTTTCGAGTTCCGGAACTTCTAAGCCCACCACCTAAAAATACCTACTACATTTGCCGATTAAGTTGGATTTTCGATTTAAACTTCTACAGTTCAAGTTCCTTTTTCAGTTCAGGATTTCCAAGCCGTTTCATGAATGAGAGAAGGAAAGTGTCGGATGTTAAAAATTTTCATCATTCGACAACTAAGCTGTTTCAAAAGTGCATGGTAACTTCGTAGCCTAAACCGCAATTTTTGTTAATTGTAGCCACTGTCCAAAGCTGTTCCGTAATTACAACCAACTTTTGTCGTGGTTAATTGCAGTGTATTTTGTCTCTGCCATTGATTTTTGAAGCTCGTGTCTGACACAAAAGCGAAATGTCGTGTCTTCGTCAAATAAAATTGTTTCGTAACTTTAAGCTAAAGCTGTTACAGGCCACACCTGTGTGTGACATAAGCACGTTTAATTAAAAAACGACTGAAACACGTGTCTTTTGAATAGCGGATGTTTTGGCGCGTATTTTGACTTTTCGTCCGCTCTATGTCGATCCAAGGATAGTTACTTAGTTTGCTTTCTTTCATCTTAATTCTAAACCTGAAAAAGAGAAATGTGACGGATATTTTACTTAAGACTATTCTATCAACTATGTCTCTGAGCCTTGACTGATTACGGCAGCATCCAGGTGCTTCAGAGGACAAATAACAAACAGGGCCACTGGTTGAAATTCGCGGGAAAATTGGCGGGAAGTTTAATATTCCATGCGGCGTGCGCCCACTCCTCGCTGACACGTTTGCCTCAAAAATGTAAACTGTTTATACACTGAGACCCTATTTCGTGCGTTTAAGAATTCAAACTTAAATTAACTGAGCTTCTTGGCACTCTAGCTTACGTTCATCTGTTACGAGGATTTAATTTTCTTTTAAAACTTAAATCTGCCGCTCAAATCCTAACCTTTGTTAAGTCGCATCATTGTTGGCAACAGGTGTTAATAGGTTCTTTTCATTGAGCGCAGCTCTGGCTTGCGTGTATTGTAAAACTTATTTCCTCTTGCACAAGGCTTAAATAAATCATTTTGGACGCATCTGGCGAAAGAGAACGGTATCGGCCTGCAGCTCGCGTCTCACAGCGATTGTCTCATCGAAGATCAGAAATCCTAAGAATCTTTCAGGAAGTAGAGGGGAAAACTTTTTGCCATGAAATTTCCAGTAACTCGTGCAGTGGATAAAAAGGTAAGATAAGATATGAAGTAATAGCTCGTTGTAAATTCTTATATGTAATTATAAATAATAGTCTTGTTGAATGATTCGCTTCAGAATCAACCCTCAAACCTGTTTGTTCCATGAATATTTCCATACTAAAATATGTTTGACCATAAACTTTTGCGGTTTTCGTGACGAGGCTGAGAAAATTTCTTCAGGATTAACAGTTTATTGTTCTCGGCTTGAGAATTCAGCGATATTAGTGCGCTCTCCTCACTAAGCGCGCGTGAGGTAAAAGAACCATTTATTTGAGTGGTATTTGTAGTTAAGTAAGAGACAGCTCTCTGTGTTAAGAAATCTTGGGGAAAAAATCTCTGAAATTTTAGAGCAAATTCAAATGACAGCGTTAGCACATTTAAAACAGAACATTTCAGGCCGTATAGTGTTGTTAATTACACGCAGTCAGGGCATTAAGCGAGGATAACAATTTAATCCCAGAGACTCATACGAGTTCGAAATTAACAATTGAATTAATTTCCCTTCTGAATTGCAACGATGCTAAATTTTAATTCAGTTGTGAAGAACAGTGAGATCTCTGATTATTTTCTCCTTCAACGCTCCTCTTAGCAGCAAACTCGTTTCTTTTGACAGGTAAACAAATCCATTCAAGATCGCCTTCGACGCAAAAGGATAAGCAAGAGCGTTGACGCACTCAGGGAGTTGGTGCTTGGACCTTCGATCGAACACGTGAGTTGAGTTGTTTCAGTCCAAGTATCCTCTTGACGTACTTACGAACGATCAATGGCAAGCCTCGAGCTAAGAAAACCTAAAATAAGACAGCCGGTTCCCCTGGCTTTTGCACTTGTCTCTGAAGTTGCTGAATACCCATGGCTAAAAACTTTATTCCAAAATGTTGTTATAAATGAAACGCTTCGAAAAAAAACAACCCTGAAGCTTCTCAACAGCTGAAATGAAAGGGGAATCGATCTTGAACAAAATAATGAAAATAAGTTCATGAAAGTATTGCAAAATTTGTTGTAGGCTTTATTCAGTGACTAAAAACCATTGACTCAATGTTTCGCCACAATGATAGACAGAATTCAACAATTTTTGTTGCTGAATACGTAGCATTGAATGAAAATTTGCTCTTGCGATATGGAGGGTGTGACACGCTCCAAAGAACCAAGCAGGCTTTATTAGCAGAATCTAATCAGCACTTCACATATTGCACGCGCTTGTGGTCTCTCATCCATTTTCATCTGCTTTTGCCTACATTCAAAATACTTGTCACAGTCTGTTTTGATTCATCCCCGCGCATTTTGGCGCGCGGGCGGAACACGTTTTGAGCTAAACTCACTGAAGGACGAATTCATGCTTAATTTTGGTTGAATTTGTTCCCTTTCAGACGAAGATCGGAAAACGGACATCCTTAAACTCACAGTACAATATATCAGACGGCAGAAAGGTAGGAATTGTTCTTTTATCTCATCCAAACTTAATTATTCGCTCGCTGTTCACTTTGGAACTACCCAAATTCAGAGGGCGTCGGCTTCACAATATTGTCACATTTAATGATATACCGGTTTGTATAATTGCTTTAAGTCATCCAAATTCACTCATAATTGTATCATTGTCCTTGCAGAACGTTTGGAAAATGTCGCAGAAGACCAAAGGACAGTAGAAATCTGCCAGAGAGAGTCAAGTGCCCTCATACCTTCATCTGGAAACAACTTCTGTAAACTGTCAATTTGTTCAACGAATGAGCAAACAAAACAAACAAATGAAATTAAAATCTTAGACAGACACGTTAGTTCTGAGAATTCTAAGTTCTGTGACAACGAAGACGTCTCTGATCAACTCTTCTCTAGTCAGTCACAGATGTATTCTACCAGATCCAGCTTAATTGGAAACACGACCGAGGATTTTCGAAAACACGCTGTAAAGCGAAAGCCTTTCAGGGAACTGAATTACGATCAAAAGAGAGGAACTGACAGACAAACAATTTGGCGGCCTTGGTGAGGCGCATGCGTTCTAAGCGACACCAGGTCCGAAATGATCCATCTCATAGTCCCAAAACTTTAATAAAATTTATCTTAATCTTTTTGTTGCTGTATGAAACCAATAAAGGCCGAATAGGCATCGTTGTTGAATTGTTGAAAGAACGTCAGTAATCGGTGTGTGGGTATACTTTTCATCAAGTTGTATTTTGAAGTTGTATCGGAAAGGAAAAGAAAGTCCTAAGAGGAAATGTTTAACCAAAACGTCTGAGCTATGTTGTAGAAAGTCTCGAGTGCCAGGAAAATTCAATCTGGCTAAAGAAAACTCATCTCGACATTGTTCATTTGCGCAATTAACAAAGGGGGTTGGGTTCTAAAGAAACTGTTGTTCTGTGCCGTGGGAGAGTTTAACATGGTATTTTGGTATTATCAACCGAGTTGAGCCGAGGGCTTCGCTATGACGAAGGGCCTAACGCTCGAAACGTTAGCTTTGAAACTCTTTATAGTGGCAAATTTACGTTATCAACTCAGTTGATAACACCAAAATACCTTGCGCAATTAACAGTTCAACGAGCTCTGGCTTTTACATAATTTTCGCTCTATTCCGTAAGTAGCGGTAAACTGTAATGGGTGCATTTATCCAGAGGGTCTCTATAACCAATTCAAATTTTTCATCATCGCCTAGTTACACTCGAGCAAAAATCGAGTTCTCTAACATTGTCTGACAATAAAGGCGGCTGGTCACGGCAGAACACAGTCACGAATACTCGAAATTTCAATGATCTGAGGTTAACTTTTTGGACCATAAGCTATGGCTGGCTAAGGGCCGGTAGGATTCCTTCAGAGTACGATATGCAGTTTCATGGTCATAAAAAAATCGAATTAAGATCATCTTTCCGAAGTCTTTAGACCACTGGAAGTGTGCATTATTCCATCGCAAATTACTGATTACTATATCTGCTCCTCCCAAAAGAAAACCGCAAATTTTCATTAAATTAATCCTTTCTTTATTATAAACTGCCAAGCAGTGATTTGCATAAAAATTTACAAATAATCTCTTTCACTCTGTCATTCATAATAATCTTTAAAAAAGCTATATACAATAATTATTTACGCCGGCGAAGAAAAGCAAATATCGAAACCACACTCAGTGCGTTAAATTATGACAGGAATCCTGCCGTGGATTTGCGTGAACGTCGTCTTTGTAGCGCTTATTTCTAGTATTTTAAATTCAGTTCAGAGTTCATTAGTTACCAAGGACGCCATAGCGGTGTCTTTGTAGCGGCGCTTGGAGAACACGCGGGCGAGAGGCTGATTTTCTGTGTTTGAACCGCCGATGGACTGACCGGAGATGGTATTCTTAGCATTTCAGTTTTCACTGGACTTGTTATAGGAATAAAAATTGCAGCTTGGTTTGTTGGAGATGGCGGTGGTGAAGGATATGGAACCCAGACGTTGTTTGGCGCAATGGCGGGAAAACTCGGAGTCATGGCGGGAATCCCTGACGCGTGGCTCGTGGCGACATGATTAGTGGCGTTGCTATGGTAGCATGAAGCCAAGTGTGACAAGAGTTTTTCCCTGAGTTGCTCGCTTCCTCCACAGGTCGTGCTTCTGTTGACTTCGCTCACACATTGATTGAAGCCAGCTCTGTACTCGGCTAGTGACTGAGGATCTAAAAGAGAACGAAATCTAGCTTAAATACTCGTTGCTAGGGAATTTTAATCTAGCTACAAGTCACAATTCCTCCTGGAAATCTATTCAAACCTACTAATTATAAACAGGCAAGAACTACACAATATTTAAGTGTGATATGTCTTATACTATGCTTGCCATGCAAAAACGATGAAGGGAAGATTGTCAATATCTTCCGTTTGTCACATGAGAATTTCATAATCCAATTATCGTCTGCGTTTGAGTGTTTCATAAATTCGTAAGCCGGTTCTAGTTTTAATTAACACATCATCACTTCTACGGATGAATTGTTTAAAATTAAGCAAAATTTCACGAAGTCAAGTCTTACCTTCAGAGCGGCAATCCTTTCGCTGTAAAGCTTTAAGATAAGTCACAGTCATCTCAAGAACATCAGCCTTCTCCATCTTGGAATAACGAGAAGCCTAAACAAGACATAATATTCGTTTGAATATTTTGCTCGGAATTTAGTCTGTCTAAGTTAAATATGTACGCTGAAACTCATTTATAACATTGTATTAGAGCCTGCGGCGGGCAAGTTTTCAAGGCAAGGAAACTTCAGCCCAGAGCTGATTTTGTTTAACTACGAACAAAAAACAGAAACTTACATCTTTATGCAGGAGATCTAGAACCAAGCCCTTCATTTCATTCAAGCTGTCATTGATTCTTGCTCTACGCATTTTTTCCATCAAAGGCTTCTTTGCCTGCAGAAGGAAAGGTCATGTTGTAAGTGACAAGTTTGCCGGTAAGCAAGCGATCTGTTGAAAAATGTCACATCAGCAAATTACAGAGTCATGTACATAAGAAATTTACCTTTCTTCTTTCAGTGAGAATCTTGCTAACATAAATTGCACCGTCATAACATTCAACGGCCATATTTTTGAAGTTTGCTATTTAGTTTTTCTACAGAGGTTTCTCGGAGATGTTAACTCTGCGAGTGTTTGTCGCGAACTGTCCGACATGCATGATGCGATCACATTTATATTCATCGGTCGTGGGAAAATTCAGGGTCGTGTGCCGACATTAGATGAGTTTTATTTACAAACACCTGTCCAGTGACAATCGGCTTGCTGCCTAAACAATACTGGCTTCATACACAAAGCCATAACCGTGGGAACAGTCGCCTCTGATTGGCTGAGTGCTTAGAGTCGCACGATAACCGTCGTTTGCATTGTTTCCCGCCTTCAGCGGCGCGTGAAGAGCGTGAGACCAGACGAATCTGATTGGCTGACAGGCCCGTGATTCACTTCATGTAATTATGGTTTTGCTACTTGTACATTCAAACTTTTAAAACAAAAGCAAAATGACAATCTCTGCCTCTTGAAATTCGGCATCCAGGCTATTGGAGCACGTGCCGTAATTGACGGACCATTCTCGCAGCTTCTATAAAAGCGATACTTTCTTTTCCCAGCAAAACTTGTGGTTCCAAAGCCCTCTAATAAGTTTTATATTGACCATTTTAGAAATTTTAAGTCATTCTGTTATAATCCACGTGCTACAGAAAACATAACAGGTATTATTTTCATTGTTTGTCTCGTTCTTTATCAGTTTATCTTTCTTTACACTTAAATCGGGCTTTGTAGACTATATTTCAATAACAAAAGGAGGCGAAAATTTCCCACGGTAGAACGACTCGCGAACTAAATGTGAAATAAACGACATTCCCTTGGTACAGCACGTATTGAACACGACGCCAGGTGGAGTTTTGTTTGTTCTGCTATAATGGAGACACTGATACGGGTCTATGTTTGACAATCAGTCATATATCTCAACTGAGCTCCTAATCGAATCAATTACCTTTAATTCATACAAAATAACGTGAACACGGAAAGCCATACAGTAAAGTAAAGTAAAGTGACAGTGTTCAAAAAAAATTTAACCTCCTCAGCTTTTTCATCAGTTGTTGTTGTTGTTTTTTTTTTCATGATTTTTAAGAAATGAGAAAGCTAAAGGATGCGTTCGGGAGAACAGAAGTGTGAAGAAAATTAAGTGGTAAAATCCGGTTAAGATCCTAAAAATAAGAAATCTGTAAACTTCTCGTTTCCTGTTCCTGTTGTTTCGCCAACCCATAAACAAAGAACACCACCGATCACTATCAGACAGAAATACTGAAATTCAAAGCTAATTCTTAACAAACGATCTCATTTTAAACTGTTAAGTAGGTTTCCTCTAAGAGAATAATCTTATTCTTTAATAAACCTTTAGGCAGATATCAACTCATGCGATTTAATACTTATCACCAGTTAAAAAAATTCTCGTCGCACGATATTTAGCTTATGCGATCATAATTTGCAGATCATCGAACTGAACGTTTTTTTAGATCTATCAAAAGGGCAGGATTCCATGTCAGTTTTTAAACATTTAGTATATGTGTAAATTGTAACTATAATGGACACAGCTTATGCATATAAGCATCATTAAACAAAAGCCGTATTATACCCGAGTGTGTTGAATATTGTTCTAGCAGACAACAGAACATTAAAGCTGACACTTTCATGTTACGATTATGCTCTCGGAACAGATAATTGATAATAAATTTTCCCAATGTGTTATTCTTGGTAAAGGAGGGAAATTATTCCAAGAGTGAAGAAAGAAAACAGAAAAATGCAAATGCCTTTAATTTTATCGTGGCGTGTTTGAATTAATTGGATATTTAGGCTCGTCATGAAGAAACTTACTACTCGATCAATCATGCCTTCAAAACTGTACATAAACATCTAGAATTCATTATGTGTAGCGGCAGAAGATGCCGCTTTTGTTTTCAACGAAGTTAAAGGTACAGCCGTGTTTCAGAAGCCGTTGTACTGAAAGAATCAGTGTTTACCCTGAAGTAGAATGTACCTCTTTATTTTTTAATTGAAAGCTTAATTTGCAAGTGCCCGAAGCGAGCAAAAGGTAGCAATGTTTTGCGCTGGTAAGGGCACCAGAAGTGGGTAACAATGAAGTAAATGAAATTGGTCAATAATATAAACTTGAATCATATATAACACAAAGTATGGAATCACAAAAAAAGGTAATTTACGCAACCTTTGCTCTCTTATCGGTTTTAAACTCATTCAAGTATACTGGCCATTTTTTAATCACAAATTCGTCTTTGAGCGAACATTATTCATAAGCTAATTTAGTAAAGTCCTATTTGATTCTTAAACACCTCTCTGCTTGCCAGTTTTATTTTCTAGAGGTAAGCCACCTATGATTTATTTCAGCTTAAATCGGTGGATGCTTTCAACTCAAGTCTGGATTCATCCTTGTGCTAAAACGATTTCTGACGTGCCGAATAATCCTGAATTTCTGTTCACTTAAATGCTCGACCAATATCGCTAAAATGTGGCTGGGGCAGTCATTGACTCAAATGTTTGTGAATAAACATCTTCCTATTAGTATCATTTGGCAGCATTTGATACTCGTTCTATAGCAATTCAGACGTTGCAAATGCGATTGTAGCTGCGATCTATTAATGGACACAAGAATATTACCATCGCAAACTAAATTATCATCTTCTTTCTAGGGGCCTATGTTCTTTATTTGGCTTAAAGTCCTTAGAAAAATTGGTATCATACGGGAAAAAAGTGGCTTGAATGGTAAATCGTTTTCCGTTTTTTTACCTCTTAGCATTTCAGAGTTGACGTTAAAGTAACGGGAGTTAGAGAGGAACGCACACAATTAACTTTGAGAGTGTTATTTGAAAAACCAGCAAATGTCTGTTTATTATTATTAATCCCATGCGTCCGCTTTTCATTGATTTTTTTTCATAAATACAATCACACCCAAATGGAGGGCTCCTTATCTTTAGTTCATCTGTATTAGGTGTTTTCTACACATTTCCCTTAGCAGTTAACTGTTTTTTTTAAGCAGGAAAATCTCGGTCATTCGAGGTGATTCGAGGAAATGGAGTATGGAGCAAATTACAAAGCAGTTCAATACCAGACACGATTTTCTGCGGTTTCCGTCAACAAAGGGATGATCATGTGGTATTAAATTTAAGCGTTTTTGGGTGACAAATTTACGAGTTGGACATCGTGGTTCCGCTACTGGAGATAACATATTCGTCCTAAGAAAGGTATTATTCGTCAACAGTAAATCTTGGAAAAAACTAAAGGACGTACTGATTGAGTCTTATGACTGATAAGTGCCACCCTTTTTTATGTTTCCTGTTCGTCTTGGCTCGGTTTCATTTTAACAAGCTCTCTCTACAGGTATTTTAGAGGTTGTGTCTCTAACATTAACGAATAAAGATTCAGGTTGTTGTGTGACCTTAAAAAGCGACTCAGTGGATAACTTCCCGAAGCCGCCCAAGGTAAAAGAAAAGCTGAAGATGCATGATAAACAATGAGCGGGGTAGGGAGGAACTGAAGTGTGCTATAAGTAACAGAGCTTGTTGAACATACAGAAACAAAATTACCGGACAGTCACAGATCTGTTGCCCTTTCGACCTTGTCTCGATCGCTTATTATCAACAACTGACTTGGTGTATTGTAAAGGAGATCACCCCATGTGGTAGCTTACCTATAGATATCTATCTTCTGGAGAAGAAATGTTTCCATATCTACTAGTTTGCCTGTTCAGTGTTATCAGTTGAAATTCGAAAAAGGTGTGTTTGTTCAGACAGTAATCTTGGAGGCGCTAGACATTCGATTACTAACGATTTCCTTGTCTCATTAAGAACAGAAGACCTCTATAAGACGGAAATTGGGCGTTAATTCAATTAGGGACCACCCTTTTTGAGGCAAGAGGACGGAAACTACATTTTCGACTTTCGATACGAGGGGAGAAGATAGAGTTACCGCTTATAAACGGATACCACGGGTGGAGGGACTACAAGACATGATTTATCGTTTGAAGTTGATATGAAAACCTCAGAGGCAAACTCCTTTTGTAAAAAATCATTCAAATAGGGTGCCTCGAACAAGCCAATGGAACAGATGCATTGGTAGATAATGAAATTGGCAAATTTTAAAATTCAAGCTGGGAGCTTATGCTCCCGTAGGCCAGTAAAGCGTGAAAAAGGCGATTATCCCTGGCAATAAAAAAGGGATTATGACTTAACGCTTTAGTAACATAGACTTTGCGGCTATGAAATGGTATCTGTAACATAAGTGGGTTGAAATTGACACCACTATTTTACTCTCGTTGATGCTAAAAGATAATTTCCTTGCGTATGAATGAAGAAAGTTTAGTATCGAGCAAGTAAATCATTCATAACACTTCTATCTTCCTGTTGAAACCAGTCCAGTCCACCAAAAAGCTCATCATGTTATGATCCAGAGGTCCTCTATAAATAGCTGTAGTTGATAATCATGTGATGAGTTGGTTTCCTTTCATTGCACCACAGTGCCCTTTGATCTTGTTAAGACAAAGATGCAAAGTGAACATATGATGTTAAGCCTCAGCTCTAGGAGGAGGATAGAAAGTGATAAAAAAACATGATCTTTTGCAACTTAACCACTGGTTGATCTTGATCAAAGCACAGCCTATTGATCAATGAAGAGAGAATCGTTTGGGAGGTGTTCCCAGAATTTCATAATTTAATAATAATAATTTATTACTTATATAGCGCAAAATACATGTGGATATGATCTAATGCGCTATACAATAAGACTAAGCAAAATAAAATATGAAAACGAACTATAAAAGGCTAAGAATATACAATTTGTCTAACTAAAAACGAACTATAAAAGCAAACATGAAAATGCCTGTCTAAAGAGATGTGTTTTAAGAAGTGTTAAGATTATTAACTGCTCTTATATTTGATGGCAATCTGTTCCAAAGTTTAGGAACAGATACCATAAATGATCTATCTCCTAAAGTTCTCTTAGTTATGGTCCTGGGTGGCGATAATTGTAGTTCAGACTGAGATCGTAATATCATACGTCCGAATTGTTGCTTAACGTAAATATATATAATCACATCATACATTGCCGCGTTATGTAATTTTTCAGCGACAGCATTGGTAAAACATTTTATACCAATAATAAGATAGAGCTCAGATGATGTTCACAGTCTGACTCTGTTACTCTGTGTTCCCATAATTTCATCACCATTACCGGTAAAACATTTTGTACTTAGCTAAAAAAAGGTAGAGCTCGGATCGCATTTACGGTCTCACTCTAAATTCCTCCCAACTGAATATCATAAATATTTCTTTACGTCTTAGTAATGAAAATTCTGAGTTACATCGAGAAGATGTAGCCTAGCTAATGAAAATTTGGCAATTCGTATCACGTACGTATCAATCGCCTCTAGGAATTTATTATAAGATGAGGGTAAACTTGTTACTTCTTGACATAATTTGACATACCTTAACATAGCTTTGTCCGTTTACCTCGAATATTGCCGACCCAGTGATATATACCGAGCTATACGCTGTCAGCCCTCAATGCTATAACCGGGTGGTAGCTGTGACACTCAAAATGAATTTGCACGTTGTAAGCCCTTTTAAAAACCCTTATGTTTAGGATTTAATGAAATTATTGTTTGGTACAATGCACACCTCAAAAAAACTTTGTATCCGACTAAGTATTTGCATCCTTCATATTGACCTAATTATGTGTGTTTCGATGGAATTTTGTTAATGAGCACAATTTGTATCTTATTCACGTCAGAAATTACCTATCCTGTGAACCCTAAGAGCAAGTCGAGATCATTTGAAGTTTGACAGTATTTAAAAAATTACTCACAAAGTGGAGGTAAATACTCACTACTTTCACCGATACTGAGGTCAATAATTGTCTTCATATTTTCCTCACAGATGGAAAAAAATTAGTTTATTCCATTCAGAAATGGTAGGAAATTAAATTGTTGGCGCACGATTTTGTCTCCTCGCCTGTTCGAACCGAACTAGCCAATCAGCGCGCGCGGAAAGCACTATACCTGTGAGGTATATACTAGAGAGGACTGTGAGGCCGGATATCTTAATCCTCAAGCTTTTCAAGTGAAAAGGAGGAGATGAAAAGGTCTGTAGAATAGGTGGCTTTCAAAGAAGTTCTAAATGGGATCACATGGCTTTTACGGCTAATAGTTAAAATTTTGGCCACACGGCAAACAGTTGATTTGACACTTTAGAAAAAAAAAGATCGTCACTTGGCGACAGAAAATTTACGTTTAACTTTACTAATGATTTACGGTTAATATTTGTCAATTTTTTTCGCCTAATGGCTAAATGTTTCCTCGTTTTACAACTAAAGCTTAACCCCCACTCAGACTCTCTTGAAACTCTGAACATTTCAACTGTTCTAGTTACAGATTTCAAAAACTTTTCGGTCGTTAACACTCTTTAAGCTATGTCGCTTTTCACTGTGGAGAAAAGAAATTATCTCACAATCTTTCAAACGTGAAATACTGCGTTAATGCTGTTAGTCTTACCCCAATCTTTCTCCAGACGGGGAAGTCCAACTACTAAATTCATGACAAAAATCGAGCTTCTATCTTCACAATGATGTACAAATGCTACAAACAAGTAAAATTCAACTTTTTAGTCAATTATCTAAAAATATTCTGAATGAGGCCCTTTAAACGGTTCCTTTTTCAAAATGAATGTTGCGTAACACACGGGACATCTAGGAGTTTTAAAGCTTGAGTTTATTTTGCTTATCACAAGTCTTGTGAAAGTCTTTGCAGATATTCAAATTTCCAAACTTGTCTCTGCTTGTTTAGTTAGGTCAGGTCTGTTATTGTGACGCGAATTACCAACCAGGAAATCAAAGAACGCGGATTGTTTGTTGTGTGCAGCAATTAACACTAATGGTAATAATATCACTAATCTCTATTTTGGTTTCGTATGCGCTTCCATTTAGAGCCCAATTAGTGTTTTAGAAATCGCAGGAAGAAAACTCGCGCTGGGTCACGTACAAGCATTCTGGTACAAATTATAGTTTTGTTTTCGAGGTCTTTTAAGAATGTTTCAGCCGACTTCAGACAGATAGTAGGGTTAGTCAAACATGTTTATGCTGACCAAACTAAAACTTGTCTTTTGTGGGTCAAGGCTCAGAAAAAATGTCCCCAGCTTGGAAATAAACGCATGTCTGTGATAAATAATATTATTGTCCCTTGAGGCGTTGAACGTCACCTAGTTTAGAATATAACCGACCATCCGTAGGTCTTACTACTCCTGAGTGACAGTCGGATTACCTTTCGGTTCGTTCAGCATTTTTTCGCAGTAAGCAAGAATTGAGATTTTATCAAATATATCGCGGATTACTGAAGTATGAGTAATGTAAAGTGTGCTTTCTGCAAAGTTAACCGCCTTATGAATTTTAATGTTTTCACGAAAGTCTGTAAGGAGTTTTCTACACATTAAAGTTTCAGACTTGTCAGAAAATTTTCAAGGTAAGCTCTAAACTTGTTATCAAAACTCCTGTCAAAATTATTTTTGTTTAATGTATAAATTTAGTCCATTACCTTTCATAACCTTTCGCATTTATCAAAAAATTCCCGCCTTTACTTTAAATTGTGACACAATTCAAAAGGCTTTAGTTCAACTTCTCATTTTTAATAATTATTTTTCTTTTGATCAGTATTCGAAAATGTCATCTGATGTACATTTGCTTTGGCCACCGGTACTCTCAACTTTTATCAAAGTTCGAAACCTATCCACTTTCTCCTAATGACAGTCTCGAACTACAATTAAAAAATAATTTTAGCGCACGCTTTGCAAACTTAAAACTAGCCATTTCTTTTCTCAGTTTCGCCTGAGTAAATGACATTTTGATGCGGAATGAAATAACACAAATAAAGAAATGACCGAGGGAGTCATTAGCTTCCATGACATGTAGTCAAAACATCTTAGGCATTTTCCCCACCGAAGGATTATTTTCCAATGAAATAATAGAAACATGCTAAAAACTGATGCTTAATCATCTCATTTATCATACCACCAGCATCGAAACTATCTTTGGAACTCGCTTTACTTTCGGCTCAAGTGCAGAGTGAAGCACAAATAGACGCTGAGAATCGATCTTACCGTGGGAAAATAAACCATGCTTTTGTTATTCAAATCTTGTGTGTCTCCCCGTGTGAAACGCATAACAAAAGCTTGTCACTAAAGACACAAGAAAAAAAGCAAATTCCCTTTTATAAACACACGTGGAGCGAAATGCGTCCAGGCGTACATAACTTCCGTGAGAACTATTTGTTGTGAGTGCTACGAGGTTGAACGAGGAGTTGGTTGGCGGGGAAAAAAAGAAATCGCGAAAAAAAGATTGGTGTCGCTGATTGCACCCGCGCACGTTATATGAAGTTCGCTTTTTTGAGCAGAGCTTCTTTCGACGTCCTGCCACTAATTAAACGGGTTTAGGTTTGGAAGCAACTGACCAATCGGACGACTTTTCTCACACTCGTCACGCGTGGGTTACCTCCTTCGTCGTTTTGTCGCAAGCGGTCGGCATGTGCCTATTCAGCAGGGACCAATCAGAATTGCACGTTCCCACGGTCGCTGCTATTGTCAAGTTAATATGATAGTCCTTAACTATTAAGGTTATTGTTTAACACTATGTTTCCACTAAAGTGTTTACAAATATTTGACAATGAAGTCACTGCGAAAGCATTTTCTGCGAGAAGGAGGTGGCTTTGTTGACGTTAAATAGCTAACGTAGTAGAGAGACGCAAACTATTCGCCCACAGACACCAGATTCATAACACGAGCCCAGCGAATTAAGGCTTCATTTCGAAATTATGGAGTATCAAGGGCATGATACGACAGAATTTATCGGTAAAATTCGAGTGGAACGGAGAAAGGTTTGTGTTCCCATATTATTCTTTAAGAATTTCGGAAATATCATTTGACTACTCTGCGTAATCAAACTGTTCAGCTAAAAAAATTCAAACAAGTTTGAGGAGTGGTGAACATCGTCCAGTAGCTTTTTACTTGTAAAAGTTATACAAAACTAATACGCATCAAGCAGGAAGAAAATTGTTTTTCCTTTTTTTTTTTTAAGGATTTACGTAAGGTGTCTTTATTTCGAAGGAATTACGCCGTGGAAATTCGAAGGGGAATGGGACCGAGGATGCACAATCAGCATTTTTAAAGTGCAGGTTGAAGTGCGTTCCTATAAGGATCTGTAAAGAATCAAAAAAGATGAATGCAACCGCCAAACATTTTATGTAGACGATGATCAGTAATTCTAAATATTTGTGGTGTTTAACTTTCAGGCACAGAAGCCAAGAATTGAGAAGTTAAGACGTGACAGAATAAATGGCAGCTTGGACGAAATTAAACACTTGGTGTTAGAAGCTCTCAATAAAGATGTAAGTTCACAAAAATACTTGATAAACCTTGTTTTTATGTATTTTGTTATTTAAATCTATTTTCGTATGAATTTCTCTGAGGCGACGAGATTGGCAATTCTCTCAATTAAAGTAAAATTACTTTTTACTTACGCAATCTATTTCTCATTAATTCAGATTTCTCGCTACTCAAAGATGGAAAAAGCTGACATTCTGGAGATGGCTGTGCAATTTTTGAAAGGAACCCAGGCAAGACAAAGAATGCAGCCAGGTTCGTTGAGCAAACCATTTTAGTTGTAGTTTTGCCCGAAACTGATTAACTTTGATTGGCAGAGACATCGTTTATTATACATTCCTGTCTCAGTTTATTGCTGACGGCTGTCACATAGACTACAAACACACCCACGCACGGCCATTGTCCTATCGGAATCTAGAGACCAGTCCTTCTCGGATTCCTCAAACTTCCTCTTGCATTTTAACGGGGTTTGGAGACATTAGTTCATGTATTTAGGTTTCGACGAGTTTAGAGATTAAAATTAAGTTATAGACGTCTAAATCTTTGAATTAAAAAACATGGTGAAAAATCTGTTAGAATTTGAGAACGTATTTAAAAAAGTGCGCCCGAAAGGTTTTTGAATCCTATCGCAAAATGGAAAGGTTTCTTAAAATTGATCAGAATGGTCGTTTATTTCCTAGGATTAAGATCATCGGTTGAGCACACAACAGAGCTTAAAGAGACTGGTCCTCAAGAGAGACATTTAGTTGCACCGCCTCAAATACCCTATCTCACACAAGACCAACTTCTCATGGAAATGACCGCTGACGTTAGGCCCATTCCAATGATGTCACCTTCTATGCCAACTTTCGTCTCAGCTCCCATGGTTGCCATGACAACACCACAACAACCAACTATTGTATGGCTACCTTACCCGTCACCACCTCCCTCACCCACAGAGAAGCCAAATAAAGTTGCTGACTCAGTGATTACGCAAACCACTGGCAGCAGAAAGGAAGCTGCTACGATAGTGACGTCACTAAGCAACACAACAGTATTACCCGTATGGAGACCTTGGTGACAGACAAGTAGATAAATTAAAACAATGCTGGAGACGAAATTATTTTAAGAGAAAAGTGAATTAACACTCGAGACTACTTAATACAACGAATGTTCCTGCTTACTTATGGAATATGATAACGCTAAATTCTTTCGTGTAACATAAAATTCCCACCGTGTCCGCATTAAAACAAAATCAGTGTTGTACTATACATTTGTATCCCTCTGATCTTAGCGTCACATTCCACAAAAAGCAAAACATAAACGGCGCGATTTACTTTTCAATATCGTGCAATGTTCCCTTAAAAAAGTCCTTTGTCTGACTGGGCGCACGGCAACTTTAGGTGTTAGTCGCTTTTTACTCAATCCAGAATCCACTCTTAATCTAGACAGAAAGAAAATAATGTGTACACGGAGAGTCTTATAACAGAAATCACAGAACACTTACGATAGCAAGGTAACACATAGGTCACAAGCAAATTGATCACTGGTAGAGATCGATTTGCGCGAAAGAGTCGTAAGCGTGGACTCACGTATTCATTTGCCTAAGCCACTCGTGCAGTTAATGTCTATGCCCAGTGTCTCTCTATTTTTTCATTCACTCCTGACCTATTGTATTTAGAGACTGTGAGTATTCATATAGACAATAACAAATTACACGGCTCGTTCCTCATTCAAAAGGAAGTTAATTCAATTATGTAGCTTCTTTAGAAATGTGCGTCTCATTTGCAGAGCAAAGTAATGCTCATCCAAAGAAGGTTTAAGGTTATTCTGTCTTATTTCATTGCACATTCTTACTGCGCATAATTTCACACGTAACTGGGGGCTGCACATGAAAAAATGGTGGCTTTTTCTCCATGGTCAGATCTCAGCAGATCCCGCTGCTAGGTAATTCGTCATTTTCTCGCAAACGGGTACTGTGACTTATCACTTTTTTCGCATTCTTGGAATTTAGCAATGACTCTCCTTTGGTCGAGTAATCATAAACCAATTCTAAATGCGGGAAAAGAGAACAATTTCGGAAATGCACGTTGAACAGGTACTCGAAAATAAAACTTTTACGATGCCAAAGGACTGAATTATGTAGTCATCTGTAAGGTATTATTGCTATTTATTTCAAAATTTACGTTCCAATACGATAAAAAAAACCGACTAGTAAAGTTTGACAAAAAATCTTACAGCAAGTTCTATTTCAGAAGAATGACACGAAGTTCGTCGTGAAGTTCGTCATTCATCTGTTATAATTTGCCTCGACTCTGTAGACGGCTGTTCACTTTTCATATTGTAACCTTGGACCTTTTACCCGGAGTAATCAGACAGATAGTCAGTCATAACCATAATGCAAACAGGTTATGAGAATAAAAAACGCCATCAGCAAAGGAACATAATGTTGGTATAGCGAGGTATAACGTACAACGCCAGTTTCTCAAAAGTATCACACGATGCATATATGGTAGTAAGGAGACTTGGAGTCCGATTTTGACGATAGTGTTGCGATCCATAAAGTCTACATTGGTTGAACTTCAGAGCTTTCTCAATCAGTGATACAGAACACGCACCATTTTGATATCAGTGAAATAGAGGAAGAAGATGTCAAACTGTCCTAATTGTTTTGACTAAGATTTTCAGTCTACACTACTTTTTATCAGTTCATCTCGAAAATTTGATATGTCTTTTAATGCTCGCTCCTCCCCACTCCAAGCCCGGATGTTTTAGAGTAAATTTCAAGGCATTTGATAAGGTTCAAAACAGCAAATTCAGCCAGAAGATATCCAAAAGCAGAAAGTGATAAGGGATTTTTTGGGGATATGCAGACGAAAGTAACCTGGGCGACCAATGGCAAGTTTAGATGGTAACTTCAAGAGGTACAATCAAATACTTCCCTCGAGATAATCAGTGAGTTTAAAGCAGTGCCTCGCTCATACATAACAACGGCACAGCAACAAGTTGAGGGAACTGAAGTCTGCAGGATAATGTTGATATTAAGCGTCTAGGAAAGACTTACTCACAGGTATGTGGGTACACGAAAAAGTATGCGCTAGGGTCACCTATGATAATAATTGCTCAGATATTTCGCTTGTTTTTTACCACGTCATGATGTTATTTATCTCTCATGGTAAGACACTAAATGTTACCGAAGATCATGGAACTTATGCGGTAATAAGTAACGATGCTTGTTATTCAGTAAAAACAAGAAAAACACAAGAAAATTACTATAGAAAAACGATTCAAAGAGTTGCTCATTCTCTGGGCGCTGAGAATAACAAGAAAACTGGTATTTCCTCGCACCATTCTTCTCAACAAAATTTCGTTACCGCATACATAGGGAAAGTTGACTTCAACGAAACACTTCAATTTTTTTTGGGCTCTGTAAACAACTACAAGTATTCCGTTCGAGGAAGGATAGTTTTCGTATATTCATTAAATAATTTAAGGAAAATTTTACTTAACCGCGTGGTTAATTTACATTAAATCAAGGTTGTTAATTATTCTTTGTTTCCATTTTGTTTTGGTTTTGTTTATATCGACAAATAGTTGAACTCCACTGAAGATCTTAGAAATTTCATCAAAAAAATTCTTGCAATACTCGGAACCATTTTCTGTAAGATATCTAACATCTGCCGTAATTTCACTTCTTCAGCTTCCAAAGATAACTTATTTCACCTGTTCGCGAACTTTCTTGCGATAAATTTTTGTTGATTAATACAACCTGTTATAAATAACTTTCTCTGCTTTATTGTAATGCTTTAATATTTGTAGGCATTAGCCTTTGTGCCCTGAATCTGTTGGAATGTTCGAATATTTTGTTGTGAAAACCCTATGTTTTGTTTAGTCTGATGTATGTATTGTAAATGAACGAACATGTGGTTACAGCAGTGAAGCCTGCTTTAAACAGTGGAACTGTTTAGATTCGTAGCTGGTACAACGTTTAAAAAAAAAAAAGGTACATTAGATTGATTTTTTGAGTCAAAGGAGTTCAGGCTATCAGGAGAAAACGAGATTGAAGCTTTGAAGGTTTGGAGAAGTTTCAAGGTATCTCTATGTAAACTGTGAACGAATAGATTCCTGACACAAATGAGGTGATGTCGGAAAACGGATTTTTTGTTTCGAAATCTCGGAGCTTAATTGCACCAGTTACAGAGAGACGAGATAAGATTGAAAGTCTATATAATTGATGTTTTGACGTTTCCTTGCTGAAAAAATTTCGTACTGAGTATAAATAAGATCATTACCGTACTGCACAGATTAGGCACAGGTAAATAAAGCCGCTGCCAGCCTGCATAACCAAAGGAGAAATATTGTGAGGCGATTTTGGTAATGTGGACAATGACACGTATCTACTTTGATTTATATAGCTAAACATGAGTATAAAGTGGTAAGCAGGTGAAAGAAAACACATTTTCATGTTGATTGCTCTTCCACAGAAAATTGAACTAAAAAGAAAAAACTCGTTGCTAATGTGTTCAAACACAAATCGCGAGCAAACGAGCCTACGAAAACAAAATAATCACATTCCTTTATCAATTTCGCAGAATTATCGAAGTGAACAGCAACAACGTATGGGTTGACTGGCGTAAATCGCGATAAAAGTTTAGAAATCTACGAGAACCTTTTAGAAATTGTGTGTAATGGCGTGCTCGTCACGTTATTGTTCACGATTGTGCAATAAAGTGTGTGCGTGCAACAGCTTGCACACAGTTGTGCAAGTTGTTTTTTTTTTAAATTATTTTTGGAAGGTAAAACTGTCCTTACAACGGTAAAAAAAAATAAACACATACGTAATTACTCTCGTGAGGAAAAAAGAAAATCAAAAGCTAGAATGTGGCTCATTGCTACTGCTGGCTCGCTTAATTTTGTCTTATTATGAGTCATAAAACTACCAGACTAAAAAGAATTATAAACTACCAAAAAAAAAACACTGTATCCGGCAAGCGTCCTACTTTGAAAAGGTCACAAATCAAAAAGTTCAGCGGCGTGAGAACAGCACAAAAATATTTTTATCGAAGGTTCTCGACTCCGGAACTGTGCCAGAACTTAAAATATCCAGTAAAAATAGTAAATATATCACAGCTCCTCACAGATTTGAAAGGCTGACAACAAAGGAAGATTATTTTTAACCTTGTCACCCATAATAAAGGGAAGCCGATACAGAACAATCCCAAAATCATTTTGAAATCCAAAAGAAATATTATTGGATTTACAAAAACCTTATTTTTGAAACTCAACTATAAATTGCGATACCAAATTCTCTGTGAAACCCAAAAACTGTTTAAAATCGCAAGAAATGTTTTACTTGCGCGAGAAGCTAGTTGAAATCAAAGGACGAGCAGGAGAAATAAGTTACGAACATCATGCACTATCATGGATTTTAAAAACATGTCGGAATTGTCCCTTATCAGCTTCCGTACAAATATCATGCTTAACGTCGAGTTTTCTTCCTCTCTGTTTCACGTTTCTCTCCAAAACAAGCTGTGAAAATCTGATGTCACATCAAAATAATATATCTTTTAAACGCCATTCGCACCAAACCCTAAACATTGTCTTAAAGCTATTTTCTCAAACAAGGTTGAACATTGTTTTCTTCAGAGAAGCTGCTTAAACCGATGACCGTCGATTTCAGTTTAAGCACTTTACTAATTACTACTACTAGTTAGTGACTACTTGAATCCTATGGAAAACTCAGTTTTTCAGTTCTTAAACCCGATTTAACTAAATATGTTTTGGTGGTGTCACTGGGTATTAGATGTCATAAGAAGAACGTACTCCTCAGTGGGAGTAAAAGATTTGATTTATAAATAACTTACCGTGAGATATCGATGTTCCAGCGAGCACAGATGTGTAAAAAAATAACATCAACTAATACTTGAAGAAGACTCCAGATTTTTTTCGTCTTAAGATTTAGCTCAACCCTTTAACCCAAGATCTGAGTGTTGGTTCTTTCCTCTAGCTGCTACATATTTCCTTCAAAATTAGTTAGACAAATTTGGTGTTGGTAGCAATTTGTTCCTGATTATTTCTAAGATTCTCGTGACCTGTTTGTTGAGTAATGAACGGATATTGTAGGGAGAAGGTACATGTTAAACACTTCTGGAAGTTAAGGGGGTTAAACAATCGTTCAAGCGTCACAAATTTAAAATGGAAATCTTCAAATTCACGCATCCTACGTCTTTGCTGTGAGAGTTTGTGTTCCTTGTTTTGGTTATGAATTACAGTGGTGATGACCTCTTTCGAAACGTAACCCAAATTTTAAAACAAACCTCCCTAGCACGTGTTTTTTCAGGAAGGCAATGA